GATGGATGTTTATTGAACACACTGCGGGGGGGGGGGGGGGCAGCACAGCAGAGGCAAGACTGACTGCATGGAGGCCGTGGGTGGGGGAAGGTGAGGAGGTATGGGAATGTATGGAATCTTCCCTTTTTTGGTAACCATCCCTGGTTATAAGTAGCCCATTGGTCAGTTAGGGCCTGTGGATACTTTGAGGTGGGTCAATAGATAGGCCTGTCTGGATTCAGCTCTGGGGGGCACTGTGGGCCCTTTTGTCTTGCTCTACATTCCATTGCTCAAGCCTGTCGCCTAACAGCACCCTCTACACCTAGTAAGTGCTGAGCGCTATTCTAAAAGCTTTACAATAAAATAACTTTTTTAAACGCTCACTCTTGGGGCGCCTGGGTGGCTCAGTCAGTTAAGCATCCAACTCTTGATTTCAGCTCAGGTCATGATCTCAGGGTCCTGGGATCGAGCCCCACATCGGGCTCCCTGCTCAGCGGGAAGTCTGCTTCTCCCTCTCCCTCTGCCGCATGTGCGCACACGCTCTCTCTCAAATAAATAAAATCTTTAAAAATAAATAAAATGCTCACTCTCTGAGACAGGTACTATCACTTTTTCCATTTTACGAACAAGGAAACCGAGGCACAAAGAGATCAAGAAATGTGTCCAAGGTCACACGGCTAGCAGATGATGGCACCGGAAACAGAACCCAAGCAATCTGGCTCCGGAGATACGCTTTTAATCCTTGTTAAAAGATGAATGAATGCAGAAACTAATACAACATTGTATGTTAATTATACTTACATTATTTTTTAAAAGTTTTAAAAATGAAGGAAGGCATATTAAAAATTTTAAGAGTTTGAGTAAAATCCTAATTGAGTCTGGCAGCGTTAAACCAACAGTGGTCAGGGGCACTCTCCCACAGGGTCAGGCGGAAAGACATATGGGGGGCAAGGTTGGCTCTGAGGGCCACACCTGGAGAGGGTCACAGAGGAGTCTGAGTACAGACTGGTCAGCAGCCAGGGTGACAAACAGACTTGAAAGCAGACCCCATGAGAGATTGGGGGACTCGGTATTCAGCCAAAAGGGGAGGACGTGAACAGAGGGTCTGAGGGCTGCCCCCAAACATCTGGAAGACGTAGGTGTGGGAAACAGATGTGATTATTTGAACAGCCTCAGGGACACAACCAGGACCAGTGGCTAGACAATTCAAGACAGCGATTTTTTACTTTCTGTAAAGAATTTACTCAAAATGAGAGATGTCTAATAAGGGACTCGGCTGTCTGGTTAGGCAGTGAATGCTCCATCACAGGAGATGTTCCAGTAAGGGCCAGAAAACCTCTGGGTGAATAAGGTCTTGACAATCAGAAGATTTAGATTCAGGGACCTTCAAAGACCTCCCTCTCTCTGAGCTTCATTGAGACCTGGATGAGGCATCCGGTGGAATTTGTCTACCCTTGTAATCATACCAGTGGCCACCAGATGGCAACAGAGCCCCATCTTCCCAGTCAAGGAGCAATTCACTCACAAAAACCAAAATAAATAGTTAACTGATTCAGACAAAATGACATTCATGAGCAAAGATTATGAATCAAATCCTCAGGAGCTTTAGTCCCCAGCACAATCCACAGGGCTCCAGGACAAGTAAATTATAAAAATGTTTGAGACTGATAATCCTTTTTTGAAAAAAATTTTCCATTGAAGTACAACGTACATATAGCAAGGTACACAAATCATAAGTGTACAAGCTCAATGAGTTCTCGCAAACAGGGCACACCTGTGTAACAAGAAATAAAATATGACCAGAATTCCAGAAGCCCCCCACCTAGTCACCACCCCCCATCCTGACCTCTAACTCCATAGATTAGTTTCGCTTGTTTTTCTACATACAGGGAATCAGATGGTATGGATTCCTTTGTGCCTTGCTTAGATGGTTATGTATGGTATGAGATCTGCGGATTTTGCTGTGTGTCGTCTTTCAATCTCATTGCCATGTAGTAGTGTGTGGTGTGAATAAACCACAACTGATTTGTCCATTCTCTTGTTATGTGCATCTGAGGGCTCATAGGCAGGCTACTAGTAAAGGGCTGCTATGCTGAGGGCTCCTACATATAATACTGCTATGAGTTTCTAGTATGTCCCTTATGGAGAGCGTGTATACACATTTATTTTATGGAATTGCTAGGTCACAGGGGTAGATGCTAGCTAGCGCTTTCAGCCTTAGTAGACAGTTCAGTAGACATTACCACCCAGTTTCCAAAGTGACTGCACCAAGTGACATTCCCACTGACAATGTATGAGAATATCTGTGGCTGTCTGGCCACACCAGAATCCTCTGTCTGGATGAGTTTTGGTGAAAGAAACGTGGGCTCTGGAGTGAGCATCCCTGCAGAGGGTCTGAGGGTCCCGGAAGCATGAGCGAGTGGGTTTGAACCAGAAGGAAGAGTCCATCCCACCAGCACGCCCTGATGAGCTCTTCAGCAATGGTATCTGCTGAACGGAGAGCCTCGCTTCGTGAGCTCTGAACAATATTGCCAGAGCGGTGTTCTCACCGAGCGCTCACTGCGCGCCTGGCACTCTCCTCAGTGCTGGGGGTGGAAGCTTACATTCTAGTGGGGGTGGGCACGGACAGTAAATAAATGTATGTCAAGTGGTGAAAGTTCTGTAAAGAAAAATGGAACAGGGTAAGAAGATGTAGAGTGCAGAGAGGGGTGCTATTTTAAAATGTCGGCTACAGGGCGCCTGGGTGGCTCAGTTGGTTAAGCGACTGCCTTCAGCTCAGGTCATGATCCTGGAGTCCCGGGATCGAGTCCCGCATCGGGCTCCCTGCTCGGCAGGGAGTCTGCTTCTCCCTCTGACCCTCCTCCCTCTCATGCTCTCTGTCTCAAATAAATAAATAAAATCTTTAAAAAAAAAAAAAAAAAGGGGACCCTGTGCACTGTGGCTGGGAATGCAAGTTGCTGCAGCCGTTGTGGAAAACAGTGTGGAGGTTCCTCAAAAAATTAAAAATAGAACCACCATATAATCCAGCAATCCCACTTCTGGGTGTATACTCAAAGGAAATGAAAGTACTATTTCAAAAAGATACCAGCACTCCCACAGTCATTTCAGCATTATTCACAATAGCCAAAATATGGAAATAACTGAAGTGTCCATTGACAGAAGAATGAATAAAGAAAATGTGGCATATGTGTGTATATATATATATATAATATAATTAATATTAATATATATTAATAATATATATATTATTCAGGCATAAAAAAAAGGAGAAAATCCTGCCTTTTGTGACAACATGGATGGATCTTGAGGACATTGTGTGCTAGGTGAAATAAGTCAGGCACAGAAAGACAAATGCCACGTGTTCTCCCTTATATACGGAATCTGAAAAAGCTGAACTTGTAGAATGAGTAGAACAATGGTTGCCAGGGGCTGGGGGGTGGGAAAATGGGGAGATGCTGGTCAAGGGGTACAAACGCCCAGCTATAAGATGAATAAGTTCTGGGAATCTAATGTACAGCATGGTGACTAAGATTAACAATTAACAACTATATCAACAACTGGAAAAATGTTGAGAGTAGATCTTAAGTGTTATCACCCCACACACAACTATGGCAATAACATGAGGGGCTGGAGGTGTTAACTAACCTTATTATAGTGACCATCTTGCAACTGTTGAATTGTGTGTTGAATCATCATGTATGCTACCTTGAACTACACATATTGTATGTTAATAATATCTCAATAAATCTGGGTTAAAAATATAAAAGAATAAAATAAAATAAGTGGTTAGAGGAATGATAAAGTGACTTTGAAGAGAAACCAGAGATGAGAAAACAAACCATAAGAAAAGAGAGCTCCAGAGACGGAGCCATTCAGTGCAAAGGCCCTGTGCTTGGCACATTCAAGGCACAGTGAGAAGGAAATAGGAGGAGGAGTAAGACTGCTGGGAAAAAGTTAGTGGGGCCATGATTACGCAGGACCCGCCCTCCTGGATGCTCAAAGATAACCACAAACCCAACACAACATACACATATCTACTCATATGAAACGTCGGGGCTTGAGGGTTTGGGGCGGCTATTGCTGTTTATAAAAATGCAATCGTGCCTATATTAACACTGGCCTTTCTCACTTAACAACATACCATAGGCATCTTTTTAAGTCCGTAGCATGGATTGGGGCAGGCAGACTTTCTGAGAAGAACCAGCTTGTAAATATCTGAGACTCTGTGGGCAGACAGTGTCTGTGGCCGCTGCTTGGTACTGCTCTTGTCCGCTCCGGAGCGGACACAGACTACACGTGAGGGAGTGAGAGTGGCTGTGTTCCAACAGAACTTGACTTACAAAATGCGTGGCGGGCCACATTGGGCCTCAGGTGGTGGTTTCCAAACCCTGGCACATAGCTTCCCTGTTATATTGCCAATGTCAAGAGCAGTGGATGCTACATAGTAGGCACACAATAAATATTTGTTAAATGAATAAATCTAGGGGCGCCTGGGTGGCTCAGTCATTAAACATCTGCCTTTGGCTCAGGTCATGATCCCAGGGTCCTGGGATCGAGCCCCGTGTCAGGCTCCCTGCTCGACGGGAAGCCTGCTTCTCCCTCTCCCACTCTCCCTGCTTGTGTTCCGTCTCTGGCTCTTTCTCTCTGTCAAGTAAATTTAAAAATGTTAAAAAAAAAAGAATAAATCTAACATTTTTTTTTTTTAGTGGTTACAGAATATTCCATTGCTAGAATATAATCTTAGGGCCTAAGGTTTTACAAATTAATCCTCTTATCAAGAAGATTTCTAGGAGTAAGGTGGCTGGGTCAAAGCCTCGTGAACTTTCTGCTTGTCAATGGGCCAGCCTCCTTGAATCCCTTTGCTCTCGGCTTCTGTGACACTGTACTCTGGTTTCTTTCCCTACCTCTCTTCCAAGTCTCTTGTCCTGTACTGAAGTTTCAGAGTTGCCCTGAGAGACAGAATAGGCCCCCCACCAAAGATGTCCACGTCCTCCTCCCCGGATTATAAAATGTTACCTTACCCGGCAAAAGGGACTCTGCAGAAGTGAGTGGCTCAGTCCGTTAAGTGTCTGCCTTCGGCTCAGGTCGCAATCCCAGGGTCCTGGGATTGAGTCCCTCAGGCTCCTTGCTCAGCGGGGAGTCTGCTTCTCCCTCTGCCTGCTGCTCCCCCTGCTTGTGTGCGCTCACTCTCTCTCTCCTAACAAATGGATAAATAAAATCTTAAAAAAAAAAAAAAAAAAAAGAAGTGATTAGGTCAAGGATGTTGAGATGGAGAGTGTATCCTGGATTATCCAGGTGGGCCCAACGTAATCATGGGGGGCAGGGGGTGGGGGTCTCATAAGAGGAAGGCAGGAAACTCAGCATCAGGAGATTTGACCGTGGAAGCAGGGGTCAGGGTCAGAGTTAACTGGGTGCAAGAAGGTCTCAACCAAAATTCATGGCTTCAGAGATGGAGGAACGGGCCACAAGCCAAAGAATGCAGATGTCTCTAGAAGCTAGAAAATGCAAGGGAACAGATTCCCCCCTCCTGGAGCCTCCAGAAGGAATGGAGTCCTGCTGACACCAGTTTTAACCCAGTGAACCATTCTGGACTCCTGACCTCCTGAGCTGTAAGCTAATAAGTTTGTGTTGCTTTAAACCAGTGAGTTGGTGGTAATTTGTTGCAGCAGCCATACGGATTATATGTAGGAATTAGTACAGTTCCCCAGAGTGTAGTTCTGAATTTTCTTCTGCTCTCCATCTAAATTTACTCTTTTGGGGTTTCCATCCAGTTTGTGACTAACTCACAGGTTTCTATCTCTGGCCCACTGTGTGCATTTTTTTTCCACTTGACACTAATAGATTTTATTTGTTTATAGGTTCTTAATGCATTTTACCGGGCATGTGCTTGGATGCTGTGGGCCCAAATTCATGTACTCAGAAAGAAAAAAAAAATTGCACATTCACAGTTAATCATACTTGGATCATTACATTTCCTTGTCATATTGCTCAGATAATACCAGATATTTATTTTTTTTTAAGATTTTATTTATTCATTTGAGACACAGAGATACAGAGAGAGAGAGAGCATGAGCAGTGGGAGAGGCAGAGGGAGAGGGAGAGGCAGACTCCCAGCTGAGCCAGGAGCCCGATGTGGGGCTCGATCCCAGGACCCTGGGATTATGACCTGAGCTGAAGGCAGACGCTCAACCATCTGAGCCACCCAGGCGCCCCGATAATACCAGATATTTAAATAGGTCAGTATAGGGGCACCTATATAGTCGTTAAGTGTTTGCCTTCGGCTCAGGTCATAATCTCAGGGTCCTGGGATGGAGCCCCGCATCGGGCTCCCTGCTCAGCAAGAAGCCTGCTTCTCCCTCTCCCACTCCCCCTGCTTGTGTTCCCTCTCTCGCTGTGTCTCTCTCTGTCAAATAAATAGATAAAATCTTTAATAAATAAATAAATAGTTCAGTATATCCCATTGCCTTGAGTGGTGAAACCTTGTTATCCTGCCACTTCTGTTGAAAATTCTGGTTAATCCTTGAACACTTTAGAACGCAACGGAAGCCCATGCTCAGTGCCACACATTCCCTCACTGTCACAAGCAATACCTTAGGGGGCAATTCTGTGTCTCAGCAGACATTTGTCAACATGTCAAGACACTTGTGTTTACCCCCAATTTTTTTTATTGAAGTATAGCTGGCATACAATGTTATATTAGTTTCAGGAGTGCAACATAATGATTTGACAACTCTGTACATTACTCAGTGCTCATCACCTTATGTGTGGTCACCGTCTGTCACCACATCAGTTTATTACAATACTACTGACTACAGGGGCGCCTGGGTGGCTCAGTTGGTTAAGCGACTGCCTTCAGCTCAGGTCATGATCCTGGAGTCCCTGGATAGAGTCCCACATCGGGCTCCCTGCTCGGCAGGGAGCCTGCTTCTGCCTCTGACCCTCCCCCCTCTCATGTGCTCTCTCTCTCTCATTCTCTCTGTCTCAAATAAATAAATAAAATCTTTAAAAAAAAAAATACTACTGACTACATTCCCTATGCTATACTTTTCATCTCCATGACTTATTTCATGACTAAAAGTTTGTACTTCTAATCCCTCTCACTCAAGAAATTTTTGGTCATCACAGCTGGAGAAGGCCAAGAGCTACAGGCATCTAGCAGGTAGAAGCCAGCCAGGGATGCTGCTGAACATCCTACAGTGCACGGGACAGCCCCTCACAACAGAGAATTACCTGGCTACAAATGTTGGTAGTGCTTAGGTTGAGAAACCCTGTCTAGATGAATCCTGTACAGATGTTTTTCAAAAAGGGTTTGGATTCACTTGGCAACATTTAACCCAATACTGCAGTTGGAAAGTACCTTTAATCTCATCCCTTCTGAGGTTCTTTCAATCATCTGCTTCCCATCTCTTTCACACTATGTCCCTGACAATTTCCATTTCTGAATTCCATTCCTGCAGTGAGCCCTGCTACATTTGCTCCACTCCAGGTAAACATACTTGAGTTGCCATGTTCACCCCAAATCCACTCAGGGTGACAGCTTCTGAAATGCTAACATTTTCAGACATCATACAGCAAAACCTACCAGAATCCAGTTTACACCCACTTCAAATCACATGGTATTTGGGATTGAAAACCGCAATGTGTGCTCTAAACTGTCCAATTTATGGGAAATTATGGATTCAAAGTTATTAACTCTCTCTCTCAATGACAGATTTCTGCAGTTTTCTCCACAATTTTAGAATCAGCAATAGAGTGATCTTTATGTGCCACAATTGTAGGTATCTAAAGAAATGGACTCCTGTACTGTACATCTATGATTTCTCCTTTGAGTTGTTCTTCCAAAATATCAACAGAGGTGAGTTAGATCATCAAGACTCCACAGAATGCTGATGACCTAACACTCCCTTTAGTCATATTTGAGACCATGTCCTCTTCTGTAGCTAGTGCCTTAGGGGTTTTTTGTTAAGAGTAGCCATTGTGGGGCACCTGGCTGGCTCAGTCAGTGGAGTGTGTGACTCTTGATCTCAGGGTGGTGAGTTTGAGCCCCACACTGGGTATAGAGATTACTTAAAAAAAAAAAAAAAACAGAGGGGGGTAACCACTGGGCTCTGGGGAAAGAGGTGAGAGTAAGCAGAGGATAGCGTCAGCTGCATCTTTCTCTTTGGGCACATGAACTGCAAAGAGAGGAGGCAACACCCCATTCCCCGTACACATTCTTTAATAAGTACTACCCCATTACCTTCCCAAAAGGAATGTTCAGTCCAACCAACACTATCAGTGCATTTCTTGATTCACCTCTTGCCCATAATGAATTGTAACAATTTTTTAAATATCGACAATTTGATGTGTAAAAATGTCTCACCGTTGAATTATTTTCCCTAATTCGTATATGCCAAGAATTTTTAAAGATCTACCTTGTATTGTATTTATCTAACTTTAGGCACAGACTCTACAGCCTTTACCACTAGATGCCAGTATTAACACTTCTCCCCCTGCCCCGACAACCAGCTTGTCTCTAGACTTTGCCAAAAGTCCCCTGGAGGGCAAAATCGCCCTCTTTGAACCAGCTGAAGAATACTGAGGTTGGACCACTCAAAAAGAGCTGGAATATTCGGAAATACCTGAACAGCCAGTGATATCTCACTGATACTGTTTCCTCTCTTAGCTTCTGTGACCCAGTGCTCTCGCGGTTTTTCCCCACCTCTCTGCTCCCTCATTCCCAGTCTCCTTTCCTGTAGTCAAGTTTCAGAGTACACCAGGGCCTTCTGCTCTCCACTTAAACTTACTTCTTCGGGGTTTTCATGTAGTTCTCCAGCTTTAAAAGGTATCTAGTGATTCACTAAAAAAATGTGTATTTCTGCCTCATAGAAAAGGTGACTTCCAACCTGTTGGGGGAAGAGATGGCGCTGGGACACCGGAGAGCGCGCACCTCTGCAGGAGGGCCGTCAGGTCTTGCTCGACTTTCTTGGGCCAGAGGCTCCCTTTGTGAGCACCCACAGCGAGCGTGGAATTACCACGTACACAGCAATCTACAGGCGACTCCGGCTGCCAGTGCTTCCAGAAAGACCCACGGAGGGAGAGGGGGACGTGCCGCGAGGCGGTCAAGGCTGATGATGGCTGTGAGTGAGACCACAAGGGATAGAGAACAGTAGGAGTGTGCGCTCGCAACGCAATCGCGGCCGGGTCACCGCGACCCCGAGCTCAAGCCCGGGATGCGGTGAAATGAGCTAATCATCTATGTGGGAGCGCCAGTTCCCCGCCAAGCTGAGCGTGAACCCATCAGTGGAGGAAACGAGCCACCTCGCTTTCAGGAGCCAATCAGAGACCATGCAGGCCTATTATGACAACCTCGAGAGCCAATGAAAAACGGGAATCCTCTTGGCCAGCCTCCCGAGCGCCTGTACCGGGAGAGATCACCGAGAGGAAGTTTTTAGAAAGTACAAATTAGAAGACAAGTGTGTGGCTCGACGGGAGGACACTGCGTTTACAAAGATGGGTGCTGAAAACAGTGTGAGCGAGCAGAACCTCACCTCCCCGAAACTTCGCGTACGGTGGACCTGCAAGTCACCCCGAGCCCAGGGATCCAGCGCGGGAGGGTACGTGCTGCGCGCTGACGTCACGCGCCGGCCCCGCCCCCAGCTCGCCCGCCCTTATAGCGTAGCCCTGGCGCGCGCGCACCATTGTGTGGCTGGACTCGGCCGCCGCTGCGGTGTGAGGCGCGTGTTCGGGCTCTCGCCGTCCCCGCACCCGCACCGCGGCTTTTGCCTTGCGGTCCGCCGTTCGACAGCCAGCCTTCGGGGCTCCTGCCCGCCACGGACATGCCGCGCGTCTACATAGGACGCCTTAGTTACAACGTCCGGGAGAAGGACATCCAGCGCTTTTTCAGTGGCTATGGCCGCCTCCTCGAAATAGACCTCAAAAATGGGTGAGTCGGCCTGGTCGCCCGCGTCCTCCCGCAACGCCCCGGGTCTGGCGGCGGCGGGGCCCGCCGGACGGAAGCCGGCCAAGGCCGCGGCGCCGCGTGGCAGGCCTTCCAAGATGGCGGCGGCGCGGGGCCGCGGGGGCGCGCGCGGGGCCGCGGGGGCGTGCCCGTGCGCGTCCCCGGCCTAACGACGCCTCCCGGTCCCCGGCCTTCGCGCCGCCCCCAGGTACGGCTTCGTGGAGTTCGAGGACTCCCGCGACGCCGACGACGCCGTTTACGAGCTGAACGGCAAAGAGCTCTGCGGCGAGCGCGTGATCGTGGAGCACGCACGGGGCCCGCGCCGCGATCGCGACGGCTACAGCTACGGAAGCCGCAGTGAGTCCCACCCCCGCGCGCTCCGCGTCCTTGGGACCCTGGGGGGAGGGCGCAGGCTTAGGGTGGGCGGGGTGGGGCCTCCCAGCCCGGGCAGGCGCGGTGGCAGGGGTCCATTGATTCCAGTGTCCCCGGGCTTCGCTGCCTTCACGCCTGCCCGGGGCAGCCGCGGGACGCCGGAGCGCGGGGATTGGGTTGTGGGTTTTGCCTAGCAGGGTTGGGGTGTTTGGGGTTTTTTTATTATTACTATTTATTGGCTTTTGCTAAGTTGGGAGGGGGGTGGTTTGGGCCCCTGTCAGCACTGTCGTGGGCCCTGCCCACGGAGGAAGCGAGGGATGGCTGTATTTGTTGTATCCCCCTTGCTTACCGGACAGTGCTTTAGCTAGAAATGTGAATGTGTTAGCGTAGAAGTGTGAGGGCAGGCTGGGGTGGGGGGGGTGGGGGGGGTCAGGGAGGGGCTTTAAGTTTAGGTCTTAGAGTTATTAAAATTGGCGGGGGCCAAGGAAAATACTATTTTGACGTAATGTGGTATGGTACCACAAAGTAGACTTAAATACGCTTTATGCTGTATTCGAATTAGTGTGGGGCATGTTATTGGGAGGAGGTGGGAGGGGTTTGGTTATGTTAAATGTTTGATGTTGAAATTGTTGCATGTTGAATTCAAACTTTTTAACAAGTCCTTGATGTTTCAATTTGAAAGTGACCAATGGGGCTGAGGCTGTGTCCACTGAGGCTAAGATGACTGCCTTTCCTGATTGGCCTTGGCTTTTCCATACATTGTGTGACCCTTGCCCTATGACCCTTTGGCTGACCTTACCGGAAGCCATGACGACAGCAGCCTTTTGCCATTAGACGCAGGGTGATGGTGAGGATTCCAAGGGTTAGACAAAACTGGTTAATCTGAACTAGGTGACTGTTACCTTGCGTGTTTTGTGGCCAAACCACCACCAAAAACCTCACACTGTGATGTAAGTACTTAGTGTAACTAGTAAACATTTTTGTAAAATGTAGAAATGCATGTAATCAGTTAAGTTTTATATTTTACAATGTTCTGTAAAATAAAACTTAGCGAGGTAAATTGAATAAAGGAGCAGTCACTCTCTAACAGATTGTAGGAGGAGTTTAGTTGGATTTAGTCTATTTGACTTGCCCTTAATTTAATTTATGGCAAATCACAACTGTATCGAAGGTTTAGCAATATAATAGCAAAGTCCTACTCCAGTAAATAAAAGTTGATATGTTTGTACTAACTTTCAAAAAAACATGCATCCCTATCATTACAAAGCACCTAATTATGCTCTTCATGTGATAAAGGTGGTGGAGGTGGATACAGCAGTCGGAGAACCTCTGGCAGAGACAAATATGGACCACCTGTTCGTACAGAATTCAGGCTTATTGTAGAAAACCTTTCTAGTCGTTGCAGTTGGCAAGATTTAAAGGTACGTGCTATAATTTGAGATAAAAATGATATGGCTAGTGTTTAAAGGGTAGGTCTTTGTTTCACTTTATTTCTGAGAATCAAGTACAGTATGTAGATCTTTTTCTTTACTTTTCTAGGTTTGACTAGTCTTGTTGCTCTTTTAGGATTTCATGAGACAAGCAGGTGAAGTAACCTATGCGGATGCTCACAAAGAACGCACAAATGAAGGCGTGATTGAGTTCCGTTCCTATTCTGACATGAAGCGTGCTTTGGATAAACTGGATGGTACAGAAATAAATGGCAGAAATATTAGGCTCATTGAGGATAAACCACGAACGAGCCATAGGCGATCTTACTCTGGAAGCAGATCAAGGTAATTTGTTGAAAGATAGGGAGAGGAGAGGAAACAATATTTGCCAAGGGCAAAGAAAACTCAAATGGCAGTACTTGAATTGAGACTTAATTGAAATTAGTTCGGTATTTGTTTCTTTTTTATCGTGCATCATTGGGTTCTTTTCCAGGATGCTTTCAGGTGGATTTAATTGGTAGTAAACAATTATATTTTGCTTGTGTATTTTTTGTAAACGACACGAAAGTTTGTGTTGAGATGTATTGAGATTAAGGTTTTTATTATGCTTCTGGTTATAGGTCACGGTCTAGAAGAAGGTCACGAAGTAGGAGTCGCAGGAGCAGCCGCAGTAGATCTCGAAGCATCTCAAAAAGTCGCTCCCGGTAAATATTAAGCTGTTAGGATTTTCTTCTGACTTTTTCTGTTACTGTACTTGTATGTTCTGGCAAGGTACTGAAAGAGAAATCCAACTCTTCTTGTCCAGATCCAGGTCTCGGAGCAAAGGTCGATCACGTTCTCGATCAAAAGGCAGGAAATCTAGATCAAAAAGCAAATCTAAGCCCAAGTCTGATCGGGGCTCCCGTTCGCGCTCTCGAAGCAGATCTAAGGAGTATGAGAAATCTCGAAGCAGGTCTCGTTCTCGATCTCGTTCCCCCAAAGAAAATGGAAAAGGTGATATAAAGTCAAAATCTAGATCAAGAAGCCAGTCTCGTTCAAATTCACCCGTACCTGCTCCACCCTCAAAGGCACGTTCTGTGTCCCCTCCACCAAAAAGAGCTTCAAGATCCCGCTCTAGATCTCGTTCAAAGTCCAGATCACGGTCCAGATCGAGTTCCAGAGATTAACCTAGAACTCTATATTCTTTGCACACTATTATGGAACACTTTCCTACTTGCTTAGGCAGTTATTCTTCCATGTTTGTACTTGGCCTCTTCTGCAAGAGGAATCTCCTGAAAATGGGGGCACAAAGGAATTTGATTTGTGGCCAAATTTGATGAAAAAATGAGGTTCTAAAGAAATGGCATGAAGTCGAAGACCCTCTCCCTTCTTTGTAGAATTAAGATAACTTTGATTTTATAGCTTTTGAGCTAAAATAACTTTTGTAAAGATTAAGCTCATTTAGATTTTTTTTTAAGTATTTCAGCAGGATCTGCTGCAGGGATTTTTGTTGTTTTGTTTGCTTTTAAATTAACCGTTTCGAGCTTTGAATACCTAAGGCTTTAGAGGGAGATCCCGATTTTCAATTATGTTGGCTTTTTATAAAGCTTGAGTTATGTAAGATTTCAATAAAAATTTGCTACCAAGATGATTGCCTTACTGAATAGGTCACTATTAAATTCCTTTAAATATTGATAATTTGCTCTTTGTGGAAACAGTGTAAATTCTACATGTGTAAAAGAAGGCAAGCCTCAGACCAGCAATAAATTATTCCATTTGGATAACATTTTGTGCTGTTAATCAAATTTGCCAAAGTCTATCTGCCCCTTTGAGTTAAGTTAAAAATAAAAGGTGTTTTGTAGTCAATTACATCATTTTGCCTAAGTTAGTAGATTTTAAATAATGAAACTTTTCAAACTTAAATTTGATCAAATTCTTGAAGAAGTTCTTAACACTTGGGATCCCGTTTAGCCTAGTAATTCCACCTTCTGGGAGTGGTCAGTGTAATTGGTGCTTTGTTAGAGTATGGTTCTGTGGTCTTTAATGTTATATAAAAATGGAAGTAGCCTTTCTTTGATTGGAAATTTAGCATATTGTTCAAAGTGGAAAAGCAAATACTGCATTTTCTGCTGGAAGATCATTACATTTAACAGGCACTTAATAGGTTGCTTGGTAAGATCAGTTGCTGATTAAAGTAAAATTCTACTCAACAATCAGTCCTTGTAGTTGATGAGGTTATGTAATAATTGGTTAGATCATCCTTGTAACTTTACAACGTGTGGTTGGCTTGAGAAGAATTTACATGGGTAAACCCGAAACTTTCTGTACTTCATTATGAAGTATAATACTCCTCTGTGGAAGCCAAAGTATACTGCAAATTTGTAGGAGGTACTGGGTAACCAGTTAGTCCATATATGTGTAGACCTAATTAGTTGAAATTGCAGTTTGAGAAACGAATTATCTTGTATCTTTTTGTTCAAGTGCTTTAACTTCATTTAAAAGCACTCATTAACCTTGGTTTGAAACTAGGATGTAGGTTATTTGACTCCGCTTTCTTTTCTTCTAGGAGCTGTCACTAAGGTATCAAGGGCTGGGTTGTACTATATAGTAGGGCATGGTGATAACAGTGTCATCATGCCACAGGTGTGACTAGAAAGCATCATAATCTACTAGAGTTGATTTGTAGGTTCAAATAAATCCAGAAGGCATATCTGATAAAATGAGGCTGCTTGAAAAAAACTGAGTCAAAGATTTTAGGTGTCAAAATCACAGAGTAGCTGGGAGTACTTGATATTGAGTAGAAAGACTTGTTTTTGAGAAGTTTCTGGGCTTCCTGTTATAAAATCTTAGAGCCTACTCTTAGGAATGTAGTGCCCTAAAAGGTTGATGCTTCTTCCATGACCTTATTTTCTTTACTTTCATACTTTGTAAAATTTAGATATTCATAAGAAATGGGTTTTTTTCCTGTATAAACTCCAGAATTTGAGAGAAGACACTGGTGTCATAGTTCATTATTTTGCCTACTTGAAAAAACAAATTACAACTCTTACATGAAGAGGCGTGTCTCCAGCTGGCTTTCAGAATTTGGTTTAAGAATTGGCTTTGACCAAAGTTCTCTTGTTTTCAGGGAAAAAACAAAAGCTTTTAAAACCATAGCCTTTTAAAAAGGAAGGAGGGGGGAATATCACAGTGTGAAATTTGACTTTGTAAAGTCATCCTTCAACGGGGCTTTCTTGTGTTAGTAAAACATCACATGGTCATAGGCAGGTTTTATCTACATTGTTAGCTGCCCCCAAAGTGGGTAATTGTAAGGTAAATGCCTACACCCGTAAGTTTTCTGGTAATGGCAAAGACCAGCTTAGTGAAAGTCCAGTCCTAGTCCATACCTATGGACCTCTGCATCATTGAATATGCTAAAGCCCTAGAACTCTGGCCTGCTTGAGAACAGAGTTGACTGAAATGTTCAGTTCCTTGCTAACTTACAAGTAGGATCTGAGCATCTACATCGTGCCATGTGTACATCTGTGCCCAGATAGAATATTAAACTGAAAGAGCAAAAACAAATGAGCAACATCATGATTCCCCTTTCTTTGACCGGATAATATTGATTGACATGCCGTAGTGCCTTTAAGGCCAGCTTGAGTCCTCCCAGTTCCTGTGGTTTACTGGTCCAGTCCTGTGTTGTTATACCTTCATTTTGGTATCTCTTTTTCCTCCACTTTGTTAACCCCCTTTATGCTTTATTTCCTCAATAAAATGCTTACTGAGGGAAAGGGTCGTTTTGAATTTATTTGTATTCCCACTTAGTGCCAAATATTTGGCAAATGGTTATTTTGAACTAGAGTTGCCACTGGCAGGCCATTCCTGACTTGAGAAAAAGGTCTTGTTTTCAGTTCCTCAGAGACCTGCATTTAGGATCAACACAGTGGATGGTTTATCTTGAGCAAGTCTTTAACAGTTGTGCTTGAATGTTATCCATGAAATGATAAGAATAAGCCATGAGTTGTGCAGATAGGTTAGCATCTAGGGTGGGTGGCTGGCTTGGTGGAGCATGTGACTCTTGATCTCAAGGTTGTAGGTTTGAGCCCCTAGAGATCGGGGAAAGAGATTACTTAAGTTTTTTTTTTTAAATAAAGGTTAGACACTGGGTGTTATACACAGTGAATCATGGAACACTACCTCAAAAACTAATGATGTATGGTGACTAACATAACAAAATAAAAATAAAGGTTAGGGATGCTTGGGCAACTTGGTTAACCGGCTACCTTCGGCTCAGGTTGTGATCCCAGAGTCCTAGGATCGAGCCCCACATCAGGTTCTCTCTTCAGCGGGGAGTCCACTTCTCTGCCTGCTACTCTCCCTGCTTGTGTGGTCTCTCTCTGTCAAATAAATAAATAAAATATTTTAAAATAATAGTAATAATAAAAAATAAAGGTTAATAAGTGGAAGGTACTTAGAATAGTGCCATAATAAATACTATTTGCTACTGTGAAGAATTAAGCATACTAAACTTTAGTGTTGTCCTGCTTTATTTTCACATTAAATTTTCTTACCTGTTACCTTGTAGCAATTTGAACATTTTCCATAATTATTTCTCAGGAAAACTAAGAAAGCTTTAATCACCTTTTCCAAAGTCCTTAACCTAATTTCCTTAATTTAAGACTTGGAGCACTCTAAACTTTGGCAGTTTACATTTAGGAAACTTCACATTTTTGTTATTTACCTTGTTTTTAGGAAGCGTTTTCTGACTTTATCGAATTTCAGTCTTATGGCAGTTGAATGTTCTTAAGTTTTGACTGAATTGCAAAAGTAATACGTACTTGGGAACATAAAGTATCTTTCCTTTGAGCCCCCTGTAAGGTAGCTGCTGTTTATAGTATCTGTCTCTGCCTGGGCTTTGGTCCTAAAGCCTATTCCTTACAACAGGCTGTTCTTACCATGAGTGGTGTTCTGCAGCTTGTTTTTACTTAAAACCTAGAGATCTGGTATTTTAAACGGCTGACTAGTACACTCCTGTATAAGTATACTTTTTCATTACCGACATTGTTTTTTTCAAGTAATTAATCCCTTGGCTTGTATGACAGGAATGAAAAGTACTACTTTTAATATTCAAAATCAAACAATGAGAATATAGAGTATTTACATAGTTTAGTACCTCCTTATCAATTTACACGTTAAAGTTCAAACTTCTTTGAGTGATACCACTTCTTGAATAAGATGGATCTACGTATGTTTGCTCTATTTGCTAAAAGGATGAGTTGATGGGATTGTGTAATCTTCTAGGTCCTCAATAGCTTGTTTAGATTTTTTTGGCTGTGTTACAGCAAAATGATTAACTTTTTTTTTTAAGATTTATTTATTTATTGTAGAGAGAGCACGCAAGTGGGAGAGAGAAAATCCCCAAATAGATTCCCCACTGAGCGCAGAGCCCGACTTGGGGCTCTATCCCGGGAGCCTGAGATTGTGACCTGAGCTGAAATCAAGAGTCAGCCACTTAACCGACTGAGCCATCCAGGCGCCCCGGTAATTAACTTTTTATACTTTAACAGGAAGGAATCGTGGTTAATTCACAAGTCGGAAGATAAATACAAAAGGGTTAATAGAGCAAATTCCACCTTTGACCCCTTGGAGGAAGCCAAGATGGCTAGTTTTTTGCTGCTCCTGGAGATGCAAATCTAGAAAAATTGATATTCCCTAGGTAGTTTCATCATAGTTAATTTGAATTTTACAAAGGCAAATAACAGTATTGCAGCTCAAACACTAGGAAACTTCGTAATTAAATATTTACTATTAATATTTATTTATACCTATTTCCTTTAAAGGTTTTTTTTTTTTTTCTTTTTAAAGATTTTTATTTGACAGGGAACACAAGCAGGGGGAGTGGGAGAGGGAGAAGCAGGCTTCCCGCGGAGCAGGGAGCCCGATGTGGGGCTCGATCCCAGGACCCTGGGATCATCACCTGAGCCAAAGGCAGATGCTTAATGACTGAGCCACCCAGGCGCTCCTATACCTATTTTCAATATTTCTAAGGAAGTCCTAGAATTGTGAAGATTTATAAGCATAGGCAGGATTTAAATCCTAGTTCAGTTCCTAACAGCCCAAAAGCATTAAAAAAAGCAATGTGTATGTCAGATAATTCCTAGTGAAAAGCACTCAAGAAATTAGGTTAAGGGAGGCCCAGAAAGTACAGAATGCATATATTTTCAAGTAATTATTTTGATAAATAGGAAAAACCTGTACAAAAAACTGTATACCCTTTTCACATTCACTAATTATACTTTGTTTCATTTACATATTTTTTTTCCTGAATCATAGGAAAGTAGAGATATCTTGCTGTTTTATCCCGGAAAACTATTTCCTAGTAATGGGACACTCCTTATGTAACTACAGTGCCTACAAAAAATAGCATCAGTGAAGTAGTTCCTACTCCATGGTCCATAGCTCTGTTTCATTAGTTGTCTGCTAATATCCTTTACCTTAGCCAGGATCATTTGCCACATTTTGTCGTCCTGGCTCTTTGGTCTCTTCTAACCTGGACCAGTCCTCTTGACCTTGTCATTTTTGAAGAGTAGAGGACAGTTGACTTTGTAGAATTTCCCTCAATTTGGGTTTGTGTGATTGCTCCTCATGATTGCATTTTTAGCAGGAATACCACAACAATGAGACTGTCCTCAATGCATCTTATCTAGTCATTTTATAATTACCTGTAAGTCAGTACTTCTGTGAGTAGACAGTCTTATAAATAAGGTTCAAAGAAGGAGTTTTTGTTTTTAGGGAGGGAGCCGATCATTTTCAAATTTAAGAGCTGCTGAAGGGGGCGCCTGGGTGGCTCAGTTGGTTAAGCAACTGCCTGCGGCTCAGGTCATGATCCTGGAGTCCCATGGGGCTCCCTGCTCAGCAGGGAGTCTGCTTCTCCCTCTGCCCCTCACCCCTCTCATGCACTCTCTCTCATTCTCTCTCGCAAATAAAATCCTAAAAAAAAAAAAAAAAAAAGCTGCTGAAGGGCGAGCTTTGTTGGCATCAACTAGTACTCCATATACTGAAAGCAAGAGAGTGGTTCTAGCCCAGGGCCAAAGAGGGAGCAGGGGGCACTTGAAATAGATGAGAGATGAAAAGATGAAATAGAAATAAGCCGCGTCCTCACGTAGAAAACCGTGCCCTCTAGTATTGTTGTGGGGGTAAATGCTGTTATCAAAGCACTTGGCAGAGTCACTCCTTAAAGATCAGCTGCTCTTATTAAAACATTCTATAAGTAGTCAAACCCTCAAACTTTTCTAGCCAATTGAGGAAAAGCTAGGCCAAGCAGAGTTGCTGAATATGGTGCCCCAAGTATTAAGAGTAAGTGACCACTACTACTTTTAGCTATTCGTAAACAGCCTTGAGTGTGCTATTTAAATATATTGCTGTTCCTTTGATTTTAGAAGATTGCAGACGCCAGCTAGAGAATAGTGTGATGAACCTCCTGGATACTTACTCAGCTTTAACAATATAGGTCTGTCTGCTTACTCTCCAGATAATTTTGAAGGAAATCCCAGACATTCCAGCTGAAAGTAGTTCACTATATACCTCTAAAAGACATCTTAAATCTTCTCAATTTCTTGTTCTTTGCAGTATATTTGTTGAAGGTCACTGTTGAGGAGTTTTTCAGTCTTGATTTTGCTGATTGCATTCTCATGGTATCATCTAGTATCTTCTAGACCTAAGAACAATGGTTCTCAAAGTGTTCGTGGACCAGTAACATCGGCAGCATCCTCTGGGGATTTAAAACGCAGTTTCTTCAAGCCCCACCCTAGATCACGGAATCAGAAACAAAGTGGAGCCCAGCCATAGGTGTTGTTATAATGAGCCTTCCAAGTGATTCTGGTGTGTGCTCAAGTTTAAGACCCATTATTCTGGAGGCTTTATCAGATTCAGGGGAAGGGTTGGGTTTCCTTCCCAAAACTACTTGGGTATCTTTTTGTCATTGGCAGGCATTGATGATCTTTGCCTAAGTCCATTAAACCATGAACCCATGATTTTAAACACTTTTCAGTCCGTGGCAGTTCTCCTTACTGGTGTCGCCTTATTCTATCTTTAGTCAGGGGAAGTCAACTCAGGTTGCCTCCTGAGTTCATTGAAGCAGCCCTAATAATCTTAGCAAGTTTCCTTGCTTTCTAGTATGGTAAGATTTCCAGGCTCAACTTTCTAGTCCCAGACCTGGAAGCACCCATTTCTCCAAGGAGCCCGGGTTATCTTTATTTGGAAATGGTATTTAGCAAGCACAGTCTGGGCCCTTGGGTGTTCATCGCTTCTAGTTGGATCTTTCTCAGGCCCCCCAGATCAGACTCCTCCTGCTCTTGTGAAGGTCCTCTCCTGTAGGCTAAACATCCCCTCAGCTGTCTCAGCACAGCAGTTTTAAAGCCCCTAACCATCTCCGTTGTCTCCCTGTATTCTGGGTGGTCAGGGTCCCTCTTACAGAGTACCGCCTGCTAGTAAGAGACAGCACTCCAGATTTGCTTTAACCTGCTCGGAGCAGGGGCGCCTGGGTGGCTCAGTCGGTTAAGTGTCTGCTTTTGGCTTGGGTCATGATCCCGGGGTCCTGGGATCGAGCCAGGCTTTGGGCTCCTTGTCAAGCAGGGAGTCTGCTTCTGCCTCTGCCCCTCCCCCCTGGCTTGTGCAAGCACACGCTCCCTCTCTCAAGTAAATGAATACAATCTTTTTAAAAAATCATTTAAAAAAAAAAGACTGCTCAGAGCAGAGCAAGTAGTATGTGGACAACCTGCCCTAATAGATGCTCAGCTGAATTCTGGGTCAGTTCTGGCAAAGGAGTGAGGAAACTTTAATACCCCTACAGAATCTCTTCTGTTCCTTCAGAGAGTTTAAAGCAAATAATGTGTCCTCTTGCTCTGGGTAACGGGAATAGAGGGAGAAGGAAATTCAGAGCGTAAATTTCAGTGTGATTGTAGAATGAGTACACAACAGCATTATAATTGGAATGAGCAAATAAGATCTTAAGTTACAGCTTTTGTCCACCTTTGCTGTAGATGACATTCCCCTGCAGACCCAGTAGGAACTCCAGCTTGGATAGCTGTGGCTGTGATTGTAATAAGCTGGTCAGTGTAATACCCTGAGTCATAATGGTCCAAAACATTCAATAAACGTGTACTAAAGGCCTTGCCAGATTCTCTTAACAGATCTACATATATTTCTGTATATCCCCCCTTCATGAGCAGAGTACCTCCTGTCCCTTGATATGGGCCAGTGGAATTTTGGCAGGCACAGCATGTTTAGTAGGCTAGATATTACCCTCCCCTTCCCCAAAGATGCCTACCTTCTAACCCTCTAACCTGTCAGTATGTTACTTACATGGTGAAAGGAACTTTGTAAATGTGACTAAATTAAGGTCTGGGAATGGGAAGATTATCCTGGATTATCCAAGTGGGCTCACTGTAATTACAATAGGGAGGTTGGAAGGTAAAAAGATAAGGAAAAGTTGATGTGAAAGCAAGCAAAATTAGAGACTGGAAGATGCTACACTACTAGCCTTGAAAATGGAAAGGACCACTAGGCAAGAAAACTAAATTCTCCACAACCTCTGGATGGAGCACAGCCCTACCCACAGCTTGACCTTGTGAAGGTCCTCTCCAGGCTAAACATGCCCTCACTCATTTGGACTTCTGATCTCTCCAACTGTGAGGTAGTACATTTTTATTTTAAGCCACCAAATTTGTGGTAATTAGTTACTGCAGCTATAGGAAACATACAGCATGACTAAAGGCTTAAGAAGCACTTGCACAAATGGGCTTGGTCTTTGGCATCTCAGTCATCACCATGAGAATAATATCCCTTTGTGGGCCTGCTGGTAGAAGATGAGACAGGTGGGACCAAGCTGTCTGTTAGCCTCCGCCACCTACAGCTTGAAACAGACCAGCCTAAATCCACCAACCTGCAGATGTATGAAAAGGAAAAACAGGCAGTTATTTCATTTTGCCTAAACAGATACTTGACATTTGGCCTTCCCACACCATCACCCCTCAATCCTCTGCCTATTCTGAGCCCCAGGAAGCTAACCTCCATTGGCTGCATCCACATATTCCTTTGCCCTCTGATTTCTGATCAGGTTCAGCCATTAGGAAGCAGCAATAGGATATGGGAAAGATTAAGATTGGAGTACTTCCAACAGCTCCCTCCCTGTAGAGTTCAGGCTGGAGGTGGCCCTCATCGGAAGGGCATAGTGTCTTCTATACACAGCCCTCTTGTTCAAGTCCTGGTAACCACTGTCCCCTTTTCCTAGTCCCATTGATCTTTAGCTAACAATTGTGATTTTCCAACAACCTGTCCAGACCTTTAAAAACAGACCCTTTATTAAATTCTCTTCAAATTTACTCAGTTGGAGTGTGTGCCATGTTTCCTGTCATGACCCTAACAGATAACAAGTAGATATTTCCTATTTGAATAAAGTATAAAACATTACACTTACTTGATGAAGTTGGCTTTTTTCATTTGCTATCCAAAGCCAGGAAGAGTTTCTTGAGTTAATTCTTGCCTCTCAGTAGATAAGCTTTTCTGAGGGAGATACCCACCCACTCTGCCACCCCCATATCTGGCTAACAATGTCCAAGTACCTGGCTTGTACCAGAAAGCCAATGTGTTCCTTGAGTGGAAGAAGAAGGGAGATTGGAAGGTAAATCCCTAGCAACCCCATTCCAAATAGCTGATTATGGGATATGAAGTGCTATGGACTGAATGTTTATATGTCCCCAAAATTCATGCTGAAGCCTAATCCCTAATGTGATGGTATTTGGAGGTGGGGATTCTGGGAGGTAATTAGGTCATGAAGGTGGAGCCCTCATGAATGGAATTAGTTAGCACTCTTATAAAAGACTCCAGAAAGTTCCTTGCACCTTCTGCCATGTGAGGACACAGCAAGGAGGCGGCTATTTGTGAAGCCAGGAAGACTTCACTAGACATGAAATCTGCAGCACCTCGATCGTGGATTTTCCAGCCTCCAGAACTGTGAGAACTAAGTTTCTGTTGTCGTAAGCCACCTAGTCTAGTCTACGATGTTCTGTCCTAGCAGCCCAAGAGCACTAGAACAGGAAGGTATCTGAAAAATGAAATCAGAAGATGGCCTGGAGCACATGAGCCAGAGCAAAGCAACATAATGTCTTGTCCAGAGACTTAAGGTTCTTGAACCACCTTTCCTAAGTGGTATTTGTCCCCACTGACAGGCTAATTCTTTGGGAAGAAAGTCCTTGGTACTGGGAAATAAAACGCCTTGAGACCCAGTTTGGGCTTCTGACCTCTAGAACGACAAGGTAATAAATTTATGCTTTTTTTAAGCCACTAATTTGTTCCACAATAGAAAATGAATATGCCTTGATTGATTCTTTTTTGTTGGGTACCTCAGTGTCCTAAGACAAGAATTCTATCAGTATGTTAAGAACAAGGTTCAGGGGCACCTGGGTGGCTCAGATGGTTAAGCGTCTGCCTTCGGCTCAGGTCATGATCCCAGGGTCCTGGGATCGAGTCTCACATCGGGCTCCCTGCTCCTTGGGAGCCTGCTTCTCCCTCTGCCTCTCTCTCTCTGTCTCTCATGAATAAATAAATAAAATCTTTTAAAAAAAAGAACAAGGTTCAGATATTTAGCAGGGTGGGGGTAAGGGAAATAGCTGAGGCTCTGGCCCTCACCGAAACAAGTTCTAGTGGTTACAAACATAAGCTTCCATTCCCAAAGCCAAATAAAATGTCAGTGTCTAATGTTCTGGGTAACATAAACCCATGGCCTGGGGGAGAGCAGGACCTGAAGTTGATCATATTTGGAAAGTTGGGTCTCCCTTGCCTTTCCCACTATGGACCCACAAATACATAGTCTAGGTATGCGAGGTATCCAGTCTTTACACTGGTTTAAGTTCATACTCCCAGTATCACCTGGACTTAAGATCCCATCTCCTGCCATTAAGTGTGTGATGAAACCCAAATCCCTAGCAGCTGGTCCCTGTCACTCATCAAGAACCACCTCCAGGACAAGAGAGACACCAGGCCACCCTTACCCCACCCCAACCCCGTTGCTCTGTTTCCCTCTTTTGTTTCTGACTCCTGCTGGTTACCCTTTCAGCCATGAATTTACTCTTCTTCCTCCTTTGCTTGCTTTTTTCTTGTAATACTTTTCCCAGGATTCTGGGGTGTTTATGCTAGAAAGGACTCTTTCCCTATTAGTGAAGTCTGTCATGTTGGAACCAGAAGTATTTTCACACTGAACTATAAAGGGCACATTTTGATGATTCCTAAAATACATAGACTGCCTCAATGGTGAATTAAATTCTGTAGAGACAGGTGTGGGCTGCTTACAACAGTTTTCCCAGTGTTTCTATTAACATTTCAAACAAATTTGGGTCCACTCTTGGGTAGAAGGTTAACTTGGAGAAGACACTGGGGGCTACAGACTTGTAAAAGAGGGGTCTGTCACTTGAGGGAAGGACTAGACTTGCTCCCTTGCTCCTGAGGGCATTCTGGAGAAGCAGAAGAAACACTGGCTGTGTGAGAAACAACCTGCCCCAAATCACATCAACTTGAGGAGCTCTCCATCCCTGAAGGTGCTCAGGCAAGCAAGACCACCGAAAGTATCAGGACCACCTGTTAAGACTGTTAATGGGCAGAACAATAATGTCTCAGCAACTCATGTTGGTTCCTACATCCTGCTAGCTCAGATTCCACTCGTCTGTCTGAATCACTGTCTGCAAGACGCATTTGTAATTGAGAAGTCATGTGTTTGTGTAGTTTCATCACTGTCTTGTAATCCGGATACCTAAAATAAACCTTTTGGAAAATCTAGAACAAGCAGTCTGGGTAGAGATGAGAGAAAAAGCGGATGGTTGTGTGCGTATCGGTGTGCATAGAGAGACCTCCATTGTTATGGCAACCAGCGTCCTCAACTGATGCAGTTCTGTTCCCAATAATACGAGATGTGATTAAAAATTGACATTGCAGCAAAGAAGAACACATGTAATGCGTCGGCGTGGCAACCAGAATAAAGTCTGCATAAATTTAAACCCGATGGTCACAATTTGGGGAATTTGCCTACAATTAATTAGGAACCTTCTCTCATCTGGACTGGAAGTCAGGAGCCTGGAGGTCTGACCTGTGGCCATGACCTTAGGCCAAATGGACTTCAGTGTCCTTTTCTGTAAAATAAGGGATTAGGTTAAATCTTTTCGTGTGGGAGAGGGGCCCCGGGCTCTAGACTGTATCAAGAGTTTCCCTGTTTTTATCCGCATGCAGTATATTAGCAAATATTTATTGAGCACCCACACTCAGTGTCCAGCTGAGCGCTAAGGATACAAAAACTGTCTCTCTCGGAGCTTGCAGTCTCTTAACCTCTCCAATTACACAAATCTATGTGAAACTACAGCTGTGATATGTGTAAATAGAGGTATTTTGTGCTATAAGAACCAACAACAGAGATGTGACTAGTTAGATCAAGGATACTGAAGCACAGAGAAGCAGTGACTTGCTCAAGGTAACACCACAACGAGAACCATATGCCAAGAAAGTGAGTCTTTACAAATGGAGAAATGGAGTACCAGGAGGATAAGGTGATGTCTTCCAGGTCACACCAGCAGCCATGGCAATAGGGCCATCTAAACGCAGGCGCGGCTAATGCTGCCCTTTATGCCTGGCAGGGTCGGAATCAGAACCCACGCCACCCTGGGCGGCCTCTCCTCTGGTCGCGCGGCCCTTCACCCTTCGGAGGCCGTTTTCGGACGCTCCTTGGCTCCCCTCCTCCAGGGCGTGGAGGCAGGCACGGTGGGAAGGCGTTGGACACCGCAGCGACCCAGCCGGGGTTCGTGCGGGAGCACAACCCCGTCTTTTGTCACTGACCACTCAGCTGGGGCCCGGCAGGCTCGCTCCCTGGCTCGGCGGGCCCCGCGGCGCGCTGCTGGCCGTGACGCGGAGGTGGGGGGGGCGGGGGGCAGGATGAATCTCAACCCGCCTCGCCCGCGCAGCCGTCGGGTCGCGGGCTGCGGGGAGAGGCCACCAGGCCCACGCGGCCGGACCCGCGCCCCCTGATCCCGCTCGGCGCGCGCTCCGCACCCCGCGTCCTGCAGGGAGGCGGGCCCGCCCCCCGTGCGCGCAGGCGCGCGCGGCGCGGGGCTCGGATGGCAGCTCGGCGCCGGGCGGCCACGGGCGGGCCTCGCAGGTAGGGAGCCCGCGGCGGGGGCTCGGCCCCGGGGTGCGGGGCGCCGCCCGCCCTGCCGCCTGCCCTGCCGCCAGTGCCCGGTGCGCGGCCCCGGCGCGCGGCCTGTGGCGAACGCCGCCGGCGGGGGGCGCGGGCTGGGGAGGAGAGCGGGGGAGCGGAGCGGAAGGGGTCCGGGTGGAGCGCTGCGGGGCGGGGGCCGGCGGCTGCGGGGCTGGGGCCCGCGAGCGGGGGAGGCGTCGGCTCCGATATTAGCGAAATGCAGTCAATTAAGAGTTTTCATTAATACCACGGAAGGTGTAGAGGGCGGGCTTTGGGGTTTCTTAGGAAATGGGTCATTTGGCAAACTTTCTTTTTCCTACCATTGATTTCCGATTTTTTATAACGGGAAATGGGGTTTATTATTTTGCCATAACGAGAAAGAATAAAAATAATTCCGCCATTTTGGCGTCTTAAAAAGTAACCGTTGCACGGAGTCGACAGGTCAGTGGCCGCCCCGCCCGCCGCCCTGTGTGCTGGTCCCCCGAGGGCCCGCAGGCTGCGGTCCCGACCCCGGAGCTGGCTTGCCCCCCCTCCCTCGCGTCCCGGCCGCAGCTGCGGGGGGCAGGCCTCAAGTTTGTGGCGCTCAGTCTCGCTGGGGCTCTGAGTGTGTGTTGCTCCCCACCCCCAACGCCTAGAGCCAGGGCTTTTATTGAGCGTCTGTTGTATACGAGGCCTTGAAGGGCAAGCAGTTGGGAGGAACCTTAGCAGAGAGACGACGAGAAAATAAACAGAGACATACTCATTCAATAAATATTTATTGAGCATATGTTATGTGCCAGACACCTCTCTGGCCCCGGGGACCCAAATGGCTATTTTAGGTCAGGTTCCCTGGAACCAGACTCTGGGAGGGAGATGTGAGCGCAGGTGTACCGGAATGCCCTTGCGAATATCACCTGTAGGACAGGGAAGACAGCAAGGTGCTGGACAGAAGTTGAACAGCCAAGGTAGTCTCAACAGAGGCCTCAGCCTGTCCCAGGGGAAGCTCTGGAGTGGACAGGGCCCTGCTGAGATATCCCAAATTGAGGCAGGGGGGTGAGGCCTTTCCTCCCCTTATCAGCTGGTCTAACAGGATGGCTGCTTCCAGGAGAGGGCACTTGGGCGAGGCAGCTCCCCTGGCTGAGGGCAGTTCCCAGAGAAGGTGACAGCTGAGGGCTGCCCGTGACAACCTTTAGGGCTGGGACCTCCCACCTTAACCCTAGCCTCTGAGCAGCACAGCCCCGGGAAATCGAATTCCAGCCCCGAAGGCAAGAATGGCTAAACCTTGTATGGATTTCAGCACCACTGCTTCTTATAACGTTGACCACTTTTTACTCCCAGCTCTCTGATTCATTCAGTGACGATTTGAGTGCTGCCTCTCTGTTAGGCTTTTTTGCACGTCAGCTGCTTTGTTCCATCTCTGGGGGAGACAGACAAGTTAATGCATAGTTAGACTGTGGTGGAGTGGAACACAGCCCAGGGGATGATTAACTTTGTTTGGGGGTGGATTCCGGGAAGGCTTCAAAGAAGAGGTGTTACTCAAGGTGGATCTTAGAGGATGATTAAGATTTCTCCAGACCTATGGGATGTGGAAAGGTACCAAGCAGAAGGAACAATATGTGCAGAAGACACAGGAGTGGGGTTCTGAGGGTGTGATCAGGCCGTAAGGGTAGGAGTGGATGGGTTCCTGGCACGTGGCTTGGGCCTGGGAGCCATTTCAGACTGGTTGTGCTGCTGTGTGTACCAAGTGAGACAGTGTTTATGAAAATGCTGCGTGAGCTGCAAACATAAGGGGTGGCAGCAGGAGAGGAAGAGTGAATTCAAATCACAGAGAAAGCAGTCACAGGCCTCAGAAAAACTCCTGGTCTAGCTGGGGAGGAAGAACACAGAAGCAAAGCAGTAGGTGCTGCGAGCCAGGAGCCCACAAGTACATGTGATGAGTCCCAACATCACAGGTGCACTGGATCCTCTTTCCTCCTGCATATTCAAGGACTTGTCTTCTAGAATTATTCTTTTTCCCCTGCACTGCCCATTTTTTCCTCTCCATAGGTTCATTTTCATCAGGTACAAACATGCTCTAACATCTCCTATTTAAAAACAAACCAACAAACCCCCACGCCCCTTCCTTGAGACCACATCACTCTTCAAACACCATCCCCCAATTCCACGCGCTCTCCTTCACATCACGAGCTCCTTGAGAGAGTTGTCAGTCCCATTGTTCCACTTCCCTTTCTCCCATTCTCCTGAGGAGCAAACCTTAGTGTCAGCTTCCCCCACTAGAATGTAGAGTCTGTGGCAGAGGTTTTTGTCTGTTTTGTTCACTGACAAATCTGCATTGCCTAGAACAGTACCTGGCGCATAGTAGGTGCTCAGTAAATATTGAACTAATCCATGATCTCTCTCTAGAATCCACTGCAGTCTGGTTTTTGTGTCCCCAGCTCCTCAGAAGTGGCTCTTGTCGAGGTTTCTAAGGACCCCCTTTTTGCCCCAGTGGTCAGCTCTCAGCCCTCCCCTCACTTGATCTGTCAGTGGCATTTCACACCGTTGAGCAGTCCCACTGTCCTGAAAACATTCCTCCTGTGTCCTCCAGAAGTTCAGACTCTTCTGGATTCCCTCTGACCTGAAGGCAGGCTCTTTTACCAGATCATCCTCTTCCCATCCTGTAAATCTTGGTGAGCTCCAAAGCTCCTACCTTTTTCTTTATACTCAGTTCTGTGGTTTTCAATGCCCCTACGCACGACGGCTTTCCCATTTACATTTCCAACCCAGCCTTAGCCCTTATTTCTACAATATATGCTTCCTGAGAGCACTTTGTCTTTTTCGAGACTGTATTCCCAGAGCACAGAACGGAGCTGACACCTAGTTGGCCCTACAGTGTTTGCAAACAAGGGCAACAAACCTGAGCAGGAGGGCAGTCCCCTCGGCCACCCTTCCTGGACACCCCCGAAACATGTGGGGGGTTTCGAAACAGGAACACGTTCTTCCAGGAGTAACCACACTCACTCTTAGTGACTGCCAAGGTTTTGAATTAAAAGATTGACTCTATCTAAAAGAACTTAAAGTGCTACAAGTACATCAGCTGTGCAAAGCAAAATAGTTAGAATTGAAATTCAGGGAATTCTATTTTATAATTTTAACAAAGGGAAACACACCTTGGTTTGAATGTTGCCTTCATTAATCAGGTTATATATCTAGCCTTCACCTACCTGATTATATAATATAGAGGATGGACTCTCTGTTTTAGGGAGGAAAAGCTGGGAAATAAATGAGTGCACAAGAACAGCAGGTGGGAGGAGGGTGGGAGAGACAGCAACCCCTCCAAGCTGACTTTGCTAGCAAGCAGCTTCCATGTTACCGGCCAGAAGCTACCAAGCTCCCTGGAATTTCTGTTAAAAGGGAGTGGATTGGTGTTTGTTGAAAGCCTGCTGCTACCGAGACTTCACACGTTTTTCGCATGTGATCTTCACCAGAACACTTTGAGGTAGATATCATTACTGGATTTATTTTACACACGAGGAAACTGAGGCTCAAGTCAGGTAAGCTACTTACTCAGAGTCACGGGTGTTAAGTGCTGGAGCTGAGATTCACACTGTCTTAAGTCTGTCTTGAGCCGAGGCCATGTTTTCCTTTAACTTGTATGCCAGAAGCCATTGTCAAGGACTGCCAACTCCTTAAAGCAACCAGGTATCAATCACACATCCAGAGCTTTTTATCAACAAGTTGAAATTACTGAAATTCAACACATATTTATTTAGCACCTACTGTGTGCAGGCACTATCCAGGGGCTGGCTGTATAGCAGTGGACAAGACAGATACAAGTCTTTGCCTTCATGGAACTTATATTTCTATGGGGATGACTGATCACACACAAATAAGTAAATGAAGATCATTATTGATTATAATGAAGGATGCAAAGGAAATAAACACAGTGATGGATTGAGCGCTAGTGGTGTGGGTGAGGGGTATGCTGCTTAAACTGAGTGGCCATGAAAGACCTCTTCTGAGGAGGTGACCACTGAGCCGAGGCCTGGAGGATGGGAAGCAGGCAGCCAAGCAGAGAGCTTAGGGAGGTGCATTCTAAGCAGAGGGGAGAACAAGGATCAAGAGCTCTAAGGTGGGAACATTTGTTAATGAGTAGAAGGAAACCAGTATTTGTTGGGGTGGAGAACAGGTGAAGAGTGGTGGAGGATGAGGTCAGAGAGGAAGACAGGGGTCAGATTCTATAGGGGGAAGCACTTTGATTTTATTCTAAGGGCAATGGAGAGCCATGGAAGAATTTTAGGTAGGGAAATTATGTGATTTGGCTTACATTTTTAAAGCTTTCTCTTACTGGAGAATAGACTGTAGGGGGCAAGAGAGGAAGAAGGGAGATGAGGTAGGAGGCAGTTTCTGAAGTCCAAGGAGAGCTGATGGCAGTTGGGACTCTCATGGAAGCAAGGAGATGGAGAGAAGTCAGACTGTGAGATGTGTTTTGCAAGTAGAGACGACAGGCCAATTATAATATATGTAAAGTTTTGCTGTCCAACACAGTAACTATGGCCACTGTGACTATTTAAATTTAATTTAAGATTTAAAAAATTTGGTTCTAGGGTGCCTGGGTGGCTCAGTCATTAAGCGTCTGCCTTAAGCTCAGGTCATGATCCCAGGGTCCTGGGATCAAGCCCCTCGTCGGGCTCCCTGCTCAGCGGGAGGCCTGCTTCTCCCTCTCCCACTCCCCCCGCTTGTGTTCCTTCTCTCACTGTCTCCCTCTCTGTCAAATAAATAAATAAAATCTTGAGGAAAAAAAAACGAACAAACTGAAAAGTGAATAATTCTAAAAAATAATAAAAATAAAAATTTTAAAATTCAGTTCTTCATTCACACTAGCCACATTTCAGTTGTTCAGTAACCACATGTGGCTAGTGGCTACTAGTGTGTTGGACAATGTAGGCATAAGACACTTACATCATCACAGAAAATTCTGGACAGTGATGGTAAGACTCGCACTAGAACAGTGGCCAAAACGTTTTAGGAGTTAAGTAAATGATAGATAGATCCTAAGTATAGTTATGTCATTAGGTCTTTTTTTTTCCCCCATATATTTATTTGTTCAACAACCTCTTTATTAAATACCTTTTTTGCCCTTGCTTTATTATATAGAAAAGTCATGCACTGCCTGGGTTCTCAAACAACACCTCTTTGCTCTCCACATGTATGCATTTGTTCAACGGATGTTATAGTGCTTACTCTGTGCTTGGGGTTGGAAGGATTGCGGGCAGGGGGCATGTAAGAATATAAGAATGTGATTGGGAAAGATCACCTCCTAGGAAAATGGACCTTATGAGTGAGATCGAACCTGGTACTTGAGGGCTCTAAATCCCCAGGAAGAAGAGATTGATCCTAGTGAGGCTGGAGGTGGGGGTTGAGAAGAGGGGAGTTCAGAGGTAGCCTGGGCTCTGTCACTGACAGCTGGCCAGACAGAACCTTGACCTGAGACCTACTCCCCAGAGTCAGTTGTGTACCTATACATCACAGTTTACAAAACACCCTCACGCATGCCCATCTTCCAGAGTCTGGGGGAGATGCAAGGCCTGGCCAGAGCCCTCACCTGGGTGACCTGGTTAGAGCCAGGAGCCAGACTTAATGTTGGTCTCCTAAGACACCCTGCTCTCCTCAGGACTGAGGCTTTTCTCTGCAGGTTGCCAACCTGAGGGTGAAGAGTTCCTCCTCAAAGAAGCCTGCTCCCTCCCTAATCTCCCTGGGGGTCGTGTTCAGCTTGCAGGCCTACCAGGATGGAGGGGAATGCCGAAATGGAGATGCTGAGGACACTGAAGGGGCCCTCCACAGGAGAGGTCAACGTGCACCTGGTGGCCAGAGACAGTCCAGGTTCCAGCTCTCACCTGCCGGCTACTGCCTTCATCATCCCAGGTGGGCCAAGCCAGGGGCCTGGAGGGAGGTGTGGATCCCGGGAAGGACATACTTTCACCTGCCTACACACGCATGGGGCAGGGCCACCAGGCTCACCTCTGACATGTCTGTGTATTTGTTCGCAGCCGGCTCGGCCACCCTTGGCCTGCCCAGCAGTGCCCTGGATGTTTCCTGTTTTCCGCGGGAGACGATCCATGTGGGCGCTCCGGAGCGAGTGGCCGGCAGCGTCCCTGTCACGGCCACCGTTCTGCCGCAGTTAAGCGCGGCGCCTGCGGCCAGCTCCAGCGCCACCACCGTGCGGCTCCTGGAGTGGACGGAGGCTGCGGCCCCGCCTCCTGGGAGTGGCCTACGGGTCAGTGTCTGTGGGGATTGGCGGGGGCCTGCGAGCCCCACCTGTGGGGCGGGGCCAGCGGGCTGGAGGCGGGGCCCGAGGCGAAGGAGGGGGAAGGGGCTCGCGATGGGGGGGTTCTGGGGTGCGGCTTTGAGTGAGGGACTCCAGGGGCATGGCTTGGGTGGAGGCGCTCGGGGTCTGGCGGGCTGCTGGGGGCGTGGCTTGGAGCGAGGCACCCGGAGTGGAGCCTTGCGGAGTAAGGCGGCGGGAGGGGACCTTGCCGATCAGAGGCGGGTCGAGGGGGTACAGGAGTCCCGTCCTCAGACCCTCCCACGCTCCAGTTCCGGATAAGCGAGTACGCACCACTGAACATGGTAGGAGCGGAGCAGCCCCCGAGCCCCGAGCTACGGCCCGAAGGTGTGGCCGAATATGAAGATGGCGAGGCCCCGGCGGGAGGTGGCGATGCGGGCACCCAGCAGCCGGGTAGGACCCCCCAGTCCCCAGGCTGGGGCCCTGCCCGGGTGGGTCGAGGCCCGAGCTCCCTGAGGAGTCTCCAGTGTGGGGGGTGGAGGAGGATGGAGTGGGTGGCCTGGGTCCTGCGGGTGCGTCCAGGGGTTGGTCCTGAGATAGAGAAGACTGTTGGGGGCCTGTCCAGGGGAGCTAGAGGGGGCGTGGGCTCCGAGGTGGGCGGAGCCTGAGTGTGGCTGTGATGGATGGGAGGCCTGAGGCCCCTTTGGCCCCCACAGCGGACCTTCCCCAGGATCCTCCAGAAGATCCCCCCCAGGATCCCCCAGAAGATGATGGTGCTTGTCAGTGCCAGGAGTGTGGACCTCAGCAAAGCGTGGGTCCAGATCCTGCTGGTTCCTCCAATGATGACTGCCCGCCACTGTTCCAAGAGCGGTAAGGGAGAGGGTATTGCAACCCTACTTGCTCTGCCTTGGGGCCCCCCCATTCTCCATTCCTGCTCAGGGCTTAGGAGAAGGACTGGGTGGTGTAGGGTGGGTGGTCCTTTCTCTCAGGCCATCTGTCCCTCAGGTCGGTCATAGTGGAGAACTCCTCAGGCCAGAACTCCTGCACCAGTGCTTCTGAGCTTCTCAAACCCATGAAGAAGAGGAAGCGCCGGGAATACCACAGCCCATCAGAGGAGGAGTCAGAGCCTGAGGCCTTGGTAGGAAGAGGGCAGTGGGGAGGGGAAGGGGAGGCTAGAGGCTACCTGTCAATTCCCACTATCCTCTCCATTAATCCGGGCTGTGGGGCTGGGCCAGAGAAGACACATGATGACTCACTCATCGTATTTTGGGGTCCCATTTTGACTCAGGTTCTGTACTGAGTTAGAAGAAAATGATTAAGTCACCCTCTTTGCTTTTCTGGGGCTTCCATCTCAGTCTAGTGTCAGGGCTAAGTCACATTCACATACACCAGCACCCAAGTAGATGAGTAGCAGATGAAAAGCTCCATCACTGGAGCCCCGTCAGGAGGCCAGAGGCAGAGAAGCTGGAAGAGACAGAGCATGAAAGCTCCAGTGGGCAAGTAAAATCAACACACAGCAGGTCTGAGGAATGAGGAGGATTGTAGTCAGACTGTGAAACTAGGGGCTGTATGCTTATGGGAGTTTGTGCCCACGTAGTCAGGGTTGCCCACTGGAGCTCTGTGCCTGCTGGTAGCCTAGAAGAAATTCCCCTTGTTTGGGGCAGAATACCGGGTGACCAGAGAGCCAGGCAGGGGCCTGGAATAGAGGCTGGGGCTTCACCCCAACCCATGAGGACAGGAATCAGGCTTGCCTTCCACAGGAGAAGCAAGAAGAAGGAAAGGATCCAGAGGGCCGACCCACTGCTTGCACCCCAGAAAGTGAGGAGTGGAGCAGCCAGCCTGGTATGGGGGCCTCTGTGTGTGTGTGTGGATGTGTTGATGTGATGTGAACACACCTTTGGAGGTGTGAGGCTGAGAGTATGCGTCACGCGTGTGATGGTGTGTGTTACATACATAGATGAGTATAAAGTAGCGTATGTGTGAGGGAGAGGGAAAATGCGAGAGAGACAATGTTTCTGGCTCATGCATTAGTATGCGTGTATTTGGGGAGGGATTATATTGTGTGTTTGTTTTATCCTCTGTTATCCAGTTGTGAATAGGCCTCACTGCCAGGCTCAGAATCCAAAGACTTAAATAGCTTTTAATGGCATCACGTGGCGTTGCTTCCCTTTGGTGGTGTGAGCAAGTTTGTACGGGCCATTGGTCTGACCTTGCTATTGGAGCTCCCATTCTGGCCTTTTGGTTCTTAAAAAAAAAGGGAACAAAGGCCATTCAGAGTCAGCTCTGGCCCTCAGGCCATCTCCACTCCCACGTGACAACAGTCAACAGGAGCTGAGTAACAATTATCACACTTGTAATCACCTAGGTGCTGCAGAACAGCTTGTTGAATTCCATCTTCCTCCCTCAGAACTGAATTTATTTTATTAATCGTTGTATCGCTGGTGCTCAGCTCAGCGACTGGGGTTGAGTAGACTCTCAATCAATGTTTGCTCAGTACATGAATGCATGAGTTGTGTGTTGGTGATTCCTCTCAGACCATGGCTCAGTTGCCTGAGTTAGTGTCTTTCCTGTCTCAGAGAGAGCCAGAGGGTGAAGTGAGTTCTTAGGACATTCTGCCTTGATGGATCCGGTGCTGGCCAGAGGAACCCAGTCTGTGTCCTGGGCTCCAAACTCTGTAGTTCCCATTCGAAATTCTGCCCATCGCAACCAAACCAAATTTTCACTGCTGTCTCTCACATCAGAGGCCAAAAGCATAGCTCTCATTGATTTATGGCCTCTTAAATCTTACGTAGAGGAAGGAGACAGTGTCCAACCACCCAAGACAGTGGCTCAGATTCATGAATCAGCATTCTTCTAGCTGGGTCCTGTTGAGCAGTACAGAATTATCTTTTGATTCATACCTCTTGCCCTCTCAACGGTAAACGTTGGTGTGGCATTGATTTCTGGATATTTTCCTCCTTGTGCCTTTTCTCCTTTTTTCAAGGGAAAATACTCTCTCAATTGGCAGAAGTTTGCATTTATGGCTAAGTTTTTTTCCACTCGTTTTTGGGGTCTTTTGGCAGAAGAATCTGGAGTGAGGGGTGGGGTTGGTAGGGTTGTTTGAGTGTCCTGTAGTATGGAGAATCCGTATTATGTCTACACTCTGTTTGGCAGTTGGATGGCCAGCTGTTGGGTTCATGTTGTACAGGCCTGACGTGTCTGGTCCTGACAGAACGTTCCAGTAGTTTATGAGTTAGAGCCGTGTAACTCGTGTATGTACTCAGGCTCTCTTTCTCTTTCACGTATCCACTTTATCTTTTCAACAGCCGCTTCATGTGAGGAATCTTTTCTAAAACACCGCGGTAAAAGTCTTCACAATATATGTAATCATTAATAGCTATTCTGATATTCTCATGTCACCTCTCAGTCTGCCCACATCCAAATCAGGTATCTGTGGTGGCGTTCTTCAGGGTCAACTTGTTATAGCCTTTTCAGATTCAGAGCAGTCCTCCAAGCATCCTGTTCTATCTCCCTATAGTTACCATAGACATACGTTTTTGCCCATTCTTTTTTTTTTTTTTTAAGATTTATTGATTTATTTTAGAGAGTGGGAGGGGCAGAGGGAGAGGGCAAGAGAGAATCTCAGGCAGACTCCCTGCTGAGCACAGAGCCCAATGCAGGGCTCGATCTCACAACTCGAAGATCATGACCTGAGCTGAAATCAAGAGTTGGTTGCTTAACTGACTGAGCCACCCAGGCACCCCACGTTTTTACCCATTCTTAATTAGGTTGTTTATCTTCTTACTATTAATTTTTTATATATTCTGCATGTAAGTCCTTTGTCAGATGTATATGTTACAAATACTTTCTCCCAGTCTGTGGCTTGCTTTTTCCTTTCTAAATGATGTTTTCTGAGTAGTAGAATGTTTTCATTTTGATGATGTCCACTTTATCCATTTTTTGCAGTTAGTGCTTCATACATATTTTTACAAAGTAGTGTTTAACAGCTTTATTGAGATGGAATTCACATACCATGTTATTCACCCATTGACTTGTACAATTCAGTGGTTTTTAGTGTATTCACGGATTTGTGCAACCATCACCACAATCAATTTTAAAGCATTTTCATCATTCCAAAAAGAAGCCCTGTACCCATGAGCTGTCATTCCCCCTAAACCACCCATCCTCCTGTAGTCCTAGGCAACCCCAAGTTTATTTTCTCTGGATATGGATTTGCCTATTCTGGTTATTTCACATAAATGGGATCATATAATACATGGCCCTGTGTGACTGGCTTTTTTCATTTAGCACAGTGTTTTAAAGGTTTATCCACTTTGTAGCATGCATCAGTATCTCATTCCTTTTTACTGCTGAATGATAGCCCATTGTATGAATGTATCACACTTTATTTATCAATCGATGGGTATATGGGTTGCTTCCATTTCGGGGCTATCATGAGTAATGCTGATATGAATATCTGTATACAAGTTTTTGTGTGGGTATGTTTTCATTTTTCTTGGGTATGTACCCAGGAGTGAATTGCTGGGTCATATGGTAACTCTATGTTTAGCCTTTTAAGGAACTGCTAGGCTGTTTTCCAAAGGGACTGTACCATTTTCTCTTCCCCCTAGCAGCATATGAGGGTTCCAGTTTATTCACATCCTCATCAGTGCTTGCTGTTGTCTTTTTTTTTTTTTTAAGATTTTATTTATTTATTTGAGAGAGAGAGAGAATGAGAGAGAGCACATGAGAGGGGTTAGGGTCAGAGGGAGAAGCAGACTCCCTGCCAAGCAGGGAGCCCGATGCGGGACTCGATCCAGGGACTCCAGGATCATGACCTGAGCCGAAGGCAGTCGCTTAACCAACTGAGCCACCCAGGCGCCCCGCTATTGTCTTTTTTTATTATAGCCATCCTGGTGGGTGTGAAGTGGTAGCTCATTGTGGTTTTGATTTGCATTTCCCTGATGGCTAATGATGGCGAGCATCTTTTCATGTGCTTATTGGCCATTTATATATTTTCTTTGGAGAAATATTTATTCAGAGCCATGCCATTTTTTAATGACATATAAGAAACACATTTTACATCAATATACAAGGAATGCTATACGGAGTTGGGGAACAAATTGAGAATGAGCGTGTGATTCGGTACAAGTCATTAATCAGTATGACTCTTCTAGCAATGCCTTCTTAACTGAGGTCCCTAGTCTAAATTTACATGCAAAATTCTGTGAATTATTTATTTTTCTGGGGAGATGGTCCATGGTTTTCATTAGGTTTTCAAAAAGGTCCATTTATACTTACTAGAAACTGAAAGCCAGGTAAAGAGTAGACCATAGCATTATGGAGCCCAGCCTCTTCAGTTTTGGGTTCCCAGTGAAAAGTCTGGCTAGACTATTAATTTGTGAATTCTCTCTACTTTTTTTTTTTTTAAGATTTTATTTATTTGAGAGAGAGAGCATGAGAGGGGGGAGGGTCAGAGGGAGAAGCAGACTGCCTACTGAGCAGGGAGACCGATGTAGGACTCGATCCCGGGACTCCAGGATCATGACCTGAGCCGAAGGCAGTCGCTCAACCAACTGAGCCACCCAGGCGCCCCAGAAATTCTCTCCACTTAAACGACTGAAGCAGTGCTGAAGAAGCTTCCTAAGAGAGTGAACAGAAAGAGAGAAAATGGGAGGGAATTACTGTATTTCTAGGGGTCTACCATTGAGGAGCAGGGTTGGGGTGGGAGAAAGAAGAACCTCTGATGGCAAGAGAAGAGGAGGAAGATACAGCTAAGAGAGCACAGCAAGAAGGAAATGCTCAGATGGAAGAGGGGTTGGTAGCATGTGGAGATCAAGAGAGTTGCGGAATAAGAAAAGGTCATTGGACTGTGGCCCTGGTGACTTGAGAACAACTTCACTAGTGCGCAGAGGTAGGCTTGAGACTGGGTGATTCAGAAGGAAATGTGTCAGAAGGATGTAAAGTTATTCATAATACCCCCTTATCTTTTAAAGTCTGCAGGATATGGGGTGATATCCCCTTTTTTATTTCTCTTATTACTATGTGTGCCTTCTCTCTTTGTTTCTTTTTTTCCCAGCTTTATTGAGATATAAGTGTTCAGACTAAGCAAAACACAATACTAGCCCTTAGAGAGCTCATAGTCCGATGTTAGGGAAAGATTTATGAACAAGTAGTTATAATGCAATGGTAGAGTAAGTGTTGTGTTTGAGGTATGTAGGTACGAAGGACCATCACGGAACAAACTGCCTCATGTAGTCAAGGAAGGCTTCATGGGGTAGGTGGGGTGACGTTCCATCAGTGCATCCATACATCCATGCATCCATACATCTATGCATGCAAACATCCATGCATTCATGCATCATATATTCATGCATCCAAGCATCCATGCATCCATATATCCATGCATCCAAGTATCCAAGCATCCATGCATCCATACATTCATGCATCCATATATCCATGCATCTAAGCATCCATGCATCCATACATCTATGCATCCAAGCATCCATGCATCCATGCATCAATACATCCATGCATCCAAGCATCCATGCATCCATACATCCATGCATCCAAGTATCCATGCATCCATACATTCATGCATCCATACATCCATGCATCCATACATCCATGCATCCATACATTCATGCATTCATACATCCATGCATCCATACATCCATGCATCCATATATCCATGCATCCATATATTCAGTCATCCATACATCCATGTATGCATATATCCATCCTTCTCGTCATTCATTTAATAAACATTTGGTGATCATCTTTCTCTGTAAAACCCTGTGCTAGGTGCCAGAGCTATGGCTGGGTCTTGAAGGATGAGAAGAAGATAGGAGGGTGGGACAGGGTGGGGCAGGATCGATGAGGCGGAGGGATTAGGACATGCACAGGCACAGAAGCGCACAGGGGCGTGGAAAGGCACGATCAGGCTAATTCACAGAGAGCTCTGTGTGCTGCAGAAAGATGTTTGGGTTTTTGGATTTTTTGGTTGTAAAGCAGAAGCCATGGTGGACTTTAAAGCAAAGAAATAAACCAGTTTTATTTTAGAGCTATTCTGCTGATAGACTGAATCTGAGGCAGAGAGATCAATCCAGAGGCTCTTGGACCAGGCTCAAAGCAAGACGAACAGTGAGCATGGAGCAGGGGGGATAGATTCGAGAGCCAGCTAGGAGTTGGAGTTGGCAGGACTCAGGGACTGAAGGATCCTGGGGGTGAAGAAGAGACCTAAAGGATCCCTCCCAAGTTCCTGGCTTATGTGGCTGGTTGAATGGGTGCTGGTACCACATGGACTGAACTAGACCACACCGGGAAGGCCACAAGCTTTGCCAGAGAAGTTACGAGTTTGGTTTTGGACAACCTGAGCTAGCTGAAGAAGGTGCTAGCCAAGAGCGTGTAGTTTAAGGAAGCAGGAATAGGCAAAGGAGCATTTCTGGAAGTCAAGAGAGGATCAGTACCACAGCGAGTCTCTACCATACTTTGGGACACATTGTAAAAAAGGCGCCCTTTCTGAGCAGACCCGGTTAGAAAAAGGCAACCTGAGTGGACTCAGCCACATGGCGCAGCAAGGAGCACCAGCTGGATTTCAGCCCACATTCACCCTCTCGGCTGGGCATCTGTGTACAGCACACAAATAGTACAACCATCCCCAGGAGCTTTGGGACTTATTTGGTCTGGAGGATGTACCTAACAGCTCAGCCCATTGTTGACCGTGGAAAACGGATGCAGGAAACTGGAGAAGGCTGGGGGCTTGGTCAGGGAGGGAAGGTCTAATATGACTGAAAGATTGCGTAGTTAGGCCTCTTTCCAGTGGATTCCGTTTAACCTCTTTTCTCATCTGTGAAAAGGATTACTGTGAATCCTACCTATCTCCTCAAGACATTGTGTGAGGATTAAAGGGGACCATGTATGTGAAGTCTCTGAGGCATCCCTGTACCCCCAGTTTCTGGCACCAGCCTTGGCACACAGAAAATACCACTCGATGGTAAAGGAACAGTTAAGGTAAATGGAAGTGGTGTGTGATGACAAACTGTGAAGTCTGTATACTTGTTATGCATCATGGCTAGTGAGAGAATCCAGATAATTAAAGGCTCAGGGAGGCAAGTAGCAACATTGGGGGTTGGGAGGGTAAGGGACAGAAGATGAAGTCAGAGGTCTCTGCTGTGGCACGGGGGTCTTAGGACTTGGCCACTTTGGGGTAGGGCCGATGGGAGGTGAACTTGGGAGTTAGGACCAAGGAGGGGCAGAGGTGCCTGAAGTGAGAAACAGACAAGTGGCTTATGTTATGGTTCAGGAAGAGGGAGGAGAGAAGAATGTCATTAGAGAGAAAGGGATGGGTGTTGTGAAGGGCTGGTGATAGCCGTGGCGATTTGGAAAAAGGGAAGAGGTATTATACAGGATGATGTGCAGCTGCCGTGGCAAGAGACAGACAATGCCAGGCCTGGCGTCCCGAAGCCTACTCTCTCCCCTGGCATGCTCAGTAAGTCTGGAGGAAGGCCGAATGGGAGAACCAAGGGTTTCTTGAGGGAACACCGTAGGTGGTATGTTCTAGGGACAATCCAGATTTCACTCAGGACAGAGGATGTGCTCTAGGCTGGTGTGGCTGTGTAGGTCTCAGAGTCTGATGGCTTGGTGATCAGTTGATCAAGAAAATCCTTGCTTTGGCCCAGCTGGGTCAGGCTCAGTACAGTGACCAGGGAACTTAGGCAGCTCCTAGGGAGGTGCTTCTAGCCACTTAGGTTCCAACTAAAGAAAAAAGCTTCTTCATGAGTGACAAAGCACTCCACATCTGAATGACCCAGGGCAGTAGCCAAGTGAACCAGAGCATGGCAGAGCTAGAATCCAGATAAGACAGACTTAGTGGAGCCCTAGGAAGACCAGAAACTCAAGACCAGCACTTTGCATTTCATGAGGATCTTTTACTCACAGCATCTCATTTGCTCCTCCAAACGACTCCCTGTGGTAGATGAAGTTGTCTGCATATTGCAGATGACAAAAATGGGGGCATAGAAGTTACTAGAAGAAGCTGGAGCTATTTACCCAAGGGATACGAATTGATTTTTGCAAGTAGTTGCCTCTTTCATTGTCTGTGGCCTTCAGTTGAAGGCAGCCCAGGCTGACTTTGTGAGCCCACCTTACACGTTGCCAGCTATTCTAGTCTTTAAATGATGTTTCTCGTCTGTGCTGGAGGCCGGGTCTCCACTGCAGGCTAACCTGAAGTTCCTGCAGGGGAATTTGTCTCCCCCTCCCCAGGACCTGGAGACTCCCGAGGGCTGTAGGCCCTGACCACAGTGTGTGTGCATGTGCGTGCATGCGTGCGTGTGTGTGTGCGTCTGGGAGGGCCATAGAATCTGTCTCTATTCTGTGGGCACGCCAAGCACACATATATGTATTTGTGACTCTGTGTGTACCTCTGTGTGTTCAGAGGGAGAATTGAAAAACAAGAGTTTCTTATTTCTTTGTGATATCGCCCCTCTGTTTCTTCCTCCTTCCGCATTTTCTCTTTCCTTTCTTTTCCGTGAGCTTAGGTGGCACTGTGATGAAGTCCTCTGGCTCAGGGCTTGTTATTCAGCTTTGTCAGAGAACAGGGTCCCTCTGTGGCTGAGATTTTGTAACCTCACTTACATGCTCTGCAGTCCAGAGTACTTTTGCCGACTGGCCTGGGGATGAGGGCGGATGGAATTTGGCGTAGCCCCGCCAGAGACCAAGGCTCGCCTGAGGTCTGAGCCCCTGTGTCTGGTGCCATCATGGCTGGGAGGGCCCGGAGGGCGGCACGCAATCATAGACAAGGGTTTGTTTTGGAGGTAAGGTAGAGTTGAGTTGGGGGAAACTGAGAAGAATAGTCTGTCGGGAGCAGTCCAGGGGTCAGTCTGTCTGTCTCCTGTCCACAGCATCAGGGGAGAAGAAGGAAGGCTGGTCATGGGAGTCCTACCTCGAGGAGCAGAAGGCTGTCACTGCCCCTGCCAGCCTCTTCCAGGACGTGAGTCAGATAATTTCTACCTGGGAAGAGCTTGTATGCCCAGTCCAGGAAATCACCACCAAACTCAGGCCTTCTGGTGTATTGTGTGTCTGATAGCCCTCCAAACACTGGCAGAATGGAAGGGGGAGAGGCTGGTTAGGGTCCCAGAGTAGGAAAGGGCTCACCTTGAGAGGCTTTCAGGGTAGGAGGAAGTAGAGAGGTGGGACCCAGGCTCACTCATCTCCGAACCTGTGGACTTTTGAATCCCGGTACCTTCTACTCAGTTCTGAACGCTGATCTTCCCATGGCCTGGATAAGGGGGAGACCTTAAGTCCAGCCCTGACTTAGCCCACATTTTTCAGAGGACCTGGGAGCTAGTCTGTCCTGCTCTGAATCCCTGCACTGAAGATCCCCAAATAAGTTACCCCTTTGGTAATACTAGGCGGGTGGGGCCTAAAGGCAGCTCCTTCACCCCAAGCCCACTAGGCAAGGATAAGGCTGGATGGAGGCTGGGTCCTCCCCAATCTGTGCGTTGACAGTACCAGGCAGTCACTCATAATAAGAATGGCTTCAGACCGGGCATGAAGTTGGAAGGCATCGACCCTCAACACCCGTCCATGTACTTCATCCTCACCGTGGCCGAGGTGAGCTGAGGCTTGCGCCCGCATTCTGGCGATGTCTCTTTCGGTAGACTGACGGGGACTGCTGGGGGCATGGAGGGCCTGGCTTAGATGAGGGAGACGCTGCCCTGCCCTCAGAAAGCGCACAATCTGTAGGGGCTTATGGTAGAACACACAGAAAGCTAAAAAATGGAACAAACACCAAAGTACTGGGCATGGTGACATTACTGAATGGTGTATTCCTCTGCTGGGGGAGCCCGAGGAGGAGAGATCCTGAGGGCAGGGATATTGGTGTGCGTCCAACCAAGGCCTTGTCCTCTAGGAGCTCACAGCATGGGAATCAGTGAGATAAACACATCAGTGACATGCCACGGCGGGGGGCAGGGGGTGGCCAACAGATGTTGAGCAGGGCAGCACCGAGGGGGCAGAAGGAGCTTCATAGAGGAAAGTCCTCCTGCCGAGACTTGAGGGATAAGTTGTGAACGAGTAGGGTGTTCCAGGCAGAAGAAGCAAAACGAGCAAAAGTACTGGGGCATGGAACAGGGTGCCAAGTTCAAGGAGCTGCCATCAGCTTGGTGAAGTCAGAGCAGTGTGTGAGTGGAGAGCGGTGAGAGATGGTAGCAGAAGGAAAGGCCATCAGGGGCCCTGAATAGGCCTGAGCCTTGGTAGGTGCCCTTGGGGTTCTGTCCAGGGCTCAAAAGGGCAGGAGGATGTCATAGATTCCACCTGTCTCACACCCAGAACTCAGGGCTCACGGGTCCTCAACGAGGGATGGGAGAACACGGGGCCAGGTTCAGGATGGGGGGGAAGAGTGGTGGGCTAGGGATCCTGCTAGCATTCGAGACCCTCGAGACACCAGGCTGGGCCAGGAAAGGTGAGGGAGAGGGAGTGGGTGCCTGCTGGCGTCCGAGTCCCTGTGATTCCCCGTCATGGGGCTAGGTGTGTGGCTACCGCCTACGTCTGCACTTTGATGGGTATTCTGAGTGCCATGACTTCTGGATCAATGCCAACTCCCCTGACATTCACCCCGCTGGCTGGTTTGAGAAGACTGGGCACAAGCTGCAGCCCCCCAAAGGTAAGGCCTAGCTGGATTGCTCACAGTGACCTGCCCTTCTTCCCCGTGGGTCTCCCTTCCTTATTCCCTGTTCCACCGTTAGCCTCTCTTCATCGAGTCCTACCATGACTAGGCCCCAGGGCTTCTGCTTTGCCCTTTCCCTTTGGGTTTCTACCCAGGTCACGTCCCACCTCAGCAGGATTTCCCTGGGCAGGCGCTTGGGGTTGGGAGGTCCTTGGGCCTTCCCGATTCCGGGGCTTCAGTGTGGGGCGCCCTTGCTGCAGCCCAGCCCCTGTCTGCACGGCACTCTCTTCCCCCCTGAGGGGCCCAGGTTACAAGGAGGAGGAGTTCAGCTGGAGTCAGTACCTGCGCAGCAGCCGAGCTCAGGCCGCCCCCAAGCACCTGTTTGCAAGCCAGAGCCACGTGAGTGCCCCGGAGCGAGGGCGGACCCCACCCTCTGGGACCGAATCCCTGCAGCCAGTTAGGCTGTCCTGACTCATCAGGAGAGAGCGCACCTACCAGTGCCCTCAGCTTTGTTCTGGCCTCTCCCACCGAAGGCCGGCCGAGGGCCAGAGGGGGAGCTGGTTCTAGGTTCCGCCCAGTTTCCCCCTCCGCCCTACTGCACAAACCCTCTCCTCCGAGCACTGCTGAGAGTCCCTGGCCCACCAGCTCAGCCCGGGCGCTGGGATGTCCCTGTTCTCATTTCTTGCTTTGGTTTGCTCTGCAGATCTTGATTGAAGGTCCAAGCCTCTGTTCTGGGAGCTGCTTTTTCCTTCCCTTTGACCAACACCGCAGCTCTCCCACTTAATCCCAACACTCACTCCTTGTCCCCTTCTCTGTTCAAGGCAGCTGACAGCTTTATCCAGCAGTTAAAGTAGCTCCTGATCCCCAGCCACGGGTCTGAGAGAGTTAGGGAACCCCCATTAAAGTTGTCACCATATCAAAAGTGCAGGATCCCCGTGGGTCAGAGTGTCCCCGTGTTGCACAGACAGGGACACTTACTCCCCCACCACAGTCTGACCCCAGGTTCCCAGGTGATTGGGGCCATTCTACCCACTATTAGGACAGGGAATGCAGTCTTGTAAGTCAAGCTGTTTCATTCCTGGCCCCACCATTGACTAGCACTGCGGTCCTGGGCAAGTTACTTAACTTATAAAATGGGGATGATCGTACCTCTCTCCATAGGGTTGTAGTAAAGGTCAAGGGGGAGACGACAGCTTTTGAAGCTTATGCCTGACAGATGCCCTTCCTCCCCTCTCCCCAACACCCCACTGCTGACCCAGCTAGCTGCCTCGGTGCAGGCTAGGGCCAGGCTCATCTGGGGAGGGGAGGCCTGTGCTCACCCTGGCAGACTCCTGGGGAGAATGGGTAGCTTCCTGCCTGTCGCTCAGCTTCCACCACAGTAAGGCTGCCTGTGAGCACGCCTTGGAGACCGGAAGCTCCCAAGTGGCTCAGGGCTGGGGGTTAGGATTCTGCCCTAGGGGGACCCTCTTTCTCAGCTGACTTCTCCCCTGCCGCCCCCACCCCACCCCAGGCATGACTCCTAGAGAACCTACTCCTTCCTGTGCCAGGGGTTCTGGGTTCGTGCTAGCCAGCCTGGGCCTGGCTATGGCAGATCCTCTTCTTGCCCCCAGAGCCCCCCACCCCTGGGCTTCCAGGTGGGCATGAAGCTGGAGGCGGTGGACCGCATGAACCCGTCCCTCATCTGTGTGGCCAGCGTGACCGACGTGGTGGACAGCCGCTTCCTAGTGCACTTTGACAACTGGGATGATACTTACGACTACTGGTAGTGGGAGGGCCCAGAGTTGGCCTGGGGGTGATGGGGTGGCCGGGTCCGGAGGCAGTACTTTCAGACCTCAGGTGCCACGTGGCCCCTGCCTGGTCCTGACATTGCTTTTGGCTCTGGGGTATCACTGGCTTTGATCTGTATCCTAAGAAACACAATGTGATATTAGTTGTTTCATCTAAAAATACCAAGGTTAGGATGAGCAAGCCACTGTGTCTCATGATTCTCCCTTCGACATTATGGGAGTCCTGGAGTTTGTAGTTAATGCTGCAGTGTTTGGACTTTTTTATCAGCCATCGGTGTAGCTGTCCCTAAGCAGCAGAGTGAAGGAGGGCACTGAAGCCGTGCTGCCATCATCCTCAGAGTGTCACTCGGGACAGTGAAGTATTCTCGGTTTCAGGTGTGACCCCAGCAGTCCCTACATCCACCCGGTGGGCTGGTGCCAGAAGCAAGGAAAGCCCCTCACCCCTCCACAAGGTGACCCTGCAGCCTGAGAAAATGCCCCTTCCTGGGCCTGGCCCCACAGCCCTCTCCTCCAATCCCTTAGCAGTGCCTCCTTAGCTGGGTCTCTAGGATCTCGGTGAGGGGATGGAAGTGTCCTGGAGCTCCATCTTCTTTGCTTGGGAGTTGAGAAGTCTTTGATGTTAGGAGAGACCTGTCAGCCCCCAGCTCTGCTGAGGTTTAAGGAAGAAAGTTAAATGACCCCCTCAGCACAGGAGCAGGGGTCCAAAGCAAAGAAAGTTTCCGATGGGGCTGGGGCTGGAGCAGCGGGGCCAGGGAAGGGGAATGGGAGCCAGGCTTCCCAGACAGCCCTGTGAACTGTGGGGTGGTGATGTGCTTGGTTCTGGCCAGCACCCCTCTGCCTCAGGAGCCTCTGCCGGGAGCTGGCTCTGGTTGGGGGGGGTGCTGTACCCCTTCCATGCTCCTGGTCCCGAGACATTGTTCTCATCCTGTCCTCCAGACTATCCAGACCCTGATGGCTTCTGTTGGGAGAAATATCTGGAAGAAACTGGGGCCTCTGCTGTGCCCACCTGGGCCTTCAAGGTGGTGAGTCAGCTCTCTGCTCCTAGAGCTGACCTCTAGGAAGGCATGGAGCACTCGGCCAGCCAAATGGAGTGCTCCCCACTTTGGCAGGCCACAATTTCCAAGGCACGGCACTTGGGCTCCCCCTCCTTGGGGCCTCGGCTCCACTGAGCTGGGCCTTGGCCTGAAAGCTGCTGTCCCCTGCAGCGGCCCCCACACAGCTTCCTGGTCAACATGAAACTGGAAGCCGTGGACCGCAGGAACCCAGCCCTGGTGCGCGTAGCCAGCGTGGAGGATGTGGAGGACCATCGGATAAAGGTGGCCCCGGGCGCCTCGGGCTAGGGGAATGGATAGGCTGTTTGGGCAGGAATTCTGTAGACTGGTTAGAGGTCAAGGGCATGGCATGAGCCAGACATAAGGGAGGCTGCAGGTCGTAGGAAGAGAGCTCTACACTCGAGGTTGAAGAACTTGGTCTCGCTCTAGCCTCATCTGTGACGTATCTTTGTGGGCTGGGACCAGTCATTTCCCCTCTCTGAGCCTGTCAAGTGGGCCTGATGACCCTTGTCCTGTGCCTGGACTGATGGAAGGTGCCAGTAACTTAATGAGTGAAGCCCTTGGAAAATGTGGTGGCAGAGGCGGGTTGTTGTGAGGTTGGCCCCTTGGTTCTTCCATCCAGGATGTTGCTTCTGACGGGCCCCAGGGACGGGGAGAGCCGCCAGGAGCCTGGAGGACCTCCTGGCTGAGCTGGGTTCCACGAGGAACGCCTGACCTCCAACGGCCTTGCCTCCCCAGCTCCACTTTGATGGCTGGAGTCACGCCTATGACTTCTGGACTGACGCTGACCACCCGGACATCCACCCTGCGGGCTGGTGCTCCAAGACGGGGCATCCCCTGCAGCCTCCTCTCCGTGTGTACCCTTAGGACACTCTGACCCTTTCCGACTGATGTCCAACCCAACCCCATGAGCTCTGACAGTCCCCCTCCTATAGCTTGCCCAGGGGATTCTGACTGACATGCACAGGTGGGCTCTAGTGCCCACAGTAAGCTGTGGGATTCCCCCATCCTCCCTGCCTCAGTGGTCTCTGCTACACTGAGCCACACTTCCAGCTTCCCCAGCTATTGGGTTTAGGGTGCTGAGCTGGACAGGGGCAAGCTCACTTGGGATCATGAGCCTCAGAGGGAGTTATGCACCTGGGGAGTTCCCTCAGCATCCAGCAGAGCCTCACAGAACAGACATTATGTTTGCTAAGGAAACCAGGTTCCCTTAACTACAATCCTGGTCCCTGTAGGTGGGGTGGGAGGTCAGGTCATCGGACCACCCAGCTCCAAGACACATGGGCTATTGATCCTTCTCGATTATTCTCCAAGCATGAGTAGGGCCTAAAGCAAGTTACCAGAGCCTTGACAATGAAACAGGGAAGCACACAGGGTAACACAATTGTGCCTGGTGTGGCTTCTCAGCTGCCGTGCCCGCTCCAGCTCTGAGTTGATCTTCTCCCCTAGGGCTCTCCTCTCAGAGACAGGGCATCTGGGGTTTCAGCAAAGGGTATGAGAGCCAAGCCCCCATACCCCAAAGAGAGGCAGATCCTCAGTAGCAAGAAATGATGTCACAGTCTAGGTTAGGGCTCCGCAGCTGGGGAGCTAGCTCCTAGTGCTGAGCTTCCCCATAGAAACTGTTCCTGCCCTCCCTGCCCTCCATCCCCCCATCCCACCCCCAACCCAGGACCCTACGCTGACTCTTCTTCCTGCTCCGCCAGGACCCAGAGAGCCCAGCTCTGCCTCTCCTGGGGGCTGTCCCCCTCTCAGCTGTCGGAGCCTGCCACACACTAGGACCTCCAAGTACAGCTTCCACCACCGGTGAGTGAGGGGCTCCTGCTAAGAGACCCTTGGGCATTGTTCAGGGAGGGCTTTCCTACACCTCGGGTGCACAGCCCATCAGGGCTCCCCAAAACACTCCGAGTGGGGCCAGCGCTGGGAGGGGCTCAGTGGGAACAAGTGGGGATTCAGCCCAACTTAAGCCTTCTTCTTCTTCCTCTTGCCCAGGAAGTGCCCCACTCCTGGTTGTGATGGTTCCGGCCACGTCACAGGCAAGTTTACAGCTCACCACTGCCTCTCGGGCTGCCCACTGGCTGAGAGGAACCAGAGTCGGCTGAAGGCGGAGTTCTCCGACACAGAGGCCTCGGCCCGTAAGAGGAACCTCGCGGGCTTCTCCCTAAGGAAGAAGCCTCGCCATCACGGCCGGTGCGGAGGGCAAGGGTGCAGGGCCTCGTGTCCTCTGGGGCCAGGCCAGGCACTGATTCCCTGCCACGGACCCGGTCCCTCTCTCTCCAGGATTGGCCGTCCTCCAAAGTATCGGAAGATCCCGCAAGAAGATTTCTCGAGTAAGTCCTGACTCCTCTACCCCATGCCCTTCACAAAGTGTTCACAGTGAGTGCGTGGTAACTGGGGGGAGAAGTCACGAGGGGAACCCGAAGGGGGCAGCTGGTGGGGAGGCCGCCTCTTGCTTTCAGGTCCTTGCAGTGGTGAGAGCACAGGAGTGCCCTCGGGTTCCAGTCCCACTTCACCAGAGACCTTGTTGTGAGTCTGCAGGAGACAGAGAGCCTCTCTGGGCCTTGGGTTCCCCACTGTGTGGCAGGAGGATGCCCCCTAGCCCTGCTCCTCTCGATTCTAGGCCTCCTGGGAGGGAGGCCTGGCTCTCACTGTCTAGCTGTGTGACCTTAAGCAAGTCACTTAATATCTCCGAGTCTGTCTCATTTGAGGATGTGAATAATACTTCTTTCAGGCGACAAGTACCTGAAATAATAGTACTTAGCAATAGTACTTAGCAGTAGTTTACTGAGCACCTACTGAGGGTCAAGCACTGTCACAGGTGCCTTACGGACATGGTCGCTGACGCTCACAGGCATCCTGGAACGTGGACACCATTCTCTTCTGCTGAGAGAAGAGGAATGGGAGGCTCAGGGGTGAAGTCACTTGCCTTGTAAGGGGCAGAGCTGGGATTCAGACTCGGGTCTGACGTCTGCTCTGTGTGCTGGTATAACAGACTGAAAGCACCTAGCCCAAATGTCAGCTCGCCCCTCCATCTCTTTGTCTTAGCTTGGGTGCCACAACCAAGTACCACAGACTCCGTGGCTAACCCACAGAAGTGTATTTTCTCACACACACGTACAGAGGCTAAAAGTCCAAGATCAAGGTATCCGCAGGGTTGGTTTCTTCTGAGACCTCACGCCTGGCTCGCAGGTGGCCGCTTTCTCGCCGTGTCCTCCCGTGGTCTGCCCCCTGTGCCTGTGTGCTCCCGGCGTCTCTCTGCGCATGTCCAAAATTGCTTTTCTTGTCAGGACACCAGACTGGGTGAGAGCCCACCCTAACGGCCTCATTTGAACGTAATCACCTGTTGAAAGACCCCATCTCCCAATACCCCTGACCCTTGAACGACAGGGGTTTGAACTGCGTGTGTCCACTTGTGTGCGGATTTTTTATAGCACAGTACTATAAATGTGTTTTCTTTATGATTTTCTTAATAACATTTTCTTTTCTAGCTTCCTTTATTGTAGGAATACAGTATATAACCCATATAACATACAAAATCTACGTTAATTGACTGTTTATGATATTGGTAAGGCTCCCAGTCAATAGTGGGGTATTAGCAGTGAAGTTTTGGGGGGAAGTCAAGTTATCATGGACTTTTGACTGCGTGGGGTGTTGGTGCCCCTCACCCCCACATTGGTCAAGGATTAAATGTATAGTCCCATTCAGAGGTACTGGGGGTTAAGTCTTCAACATATGAATTTGGGGGGAACACAGTGAAGCCCATAGCATGCTCCAAAGGGAGGGACAGGGTGACTGAGCCTTCCATTGGGTGACAGATTCACGGCTTCCACCACCGGCACAGGGCCCGACACACAGCAGGAGCGCTAGGGATCTTGCCTTAGTTGAGTTGAATGCCCACGGTCTTAAGGCTAGAAGAGACCATGGGAGATCACCTGGTTCAGTGCTCAGTTTGTGGACAGGACTTAAGCTCTTCCAGTTCTTCAGGAACAGTGTCTGCAACCTAGACTATATAGCATGGTCGTTAAAAGCACAGCCCTGGAATCAGACGGCCTTTTACAGGCTGGGAGACCTCGGGCAGGTGACCCCCCTCTCTGAGCCTCAGCTTGCTCATCTGTGCAATGCTGATAATATGCCCACCTCAGAAGGTGGTAGGGGGCTTAAATGAAAAGGTCAAGTAAAGGGCTTAGCACCAGTACCTACTGGTATTATTAGCCCTGTGTGTGGCCGACCTCCTCGTGCTGCTGTTGCAGACTCCTCTTGGTGGAAGCAGAAGGCACTTCCTGCGGCTTCAGGCTTGAGTGAGGAGGAGCTTGGCCAGCCTCTCAGCCCTCAGAATGAGGACTTCTGGGGACGGGACTATAGTGGGCACCTTTTCTACCCGACTGTGGGACACCTGGCCAGCGTCCCGTCCAGGGCCAGGTTCTGACCACCAGGGGGCGCGTGCCTGTGTGTTCATTCCAGAAGCATCCTGAGAACTTGGGAAGTTGTCTTTCTAGAGACTGAGGCTATGGCGGGAGAGGGTGAGGAAAGGCTTACCCAATAATAATAATAATAATAATAATAATAATAATAATAATAATAATAATAATAATAATAATAATAATAATAATGCTATAGGCTGAATGTTTCTGTCCCCCCCCAAATTCATATGTGAAACCAAATGGTATTAGGAGGTGGGGCTTTGGGGAGGTGGTTAGGTCATAAGCATGGAGCCCTCACAAATGGGATCAGTGTCCTTATAAAAGAGACCCAAAGAGCTCCCTTGCTCCTTCCACCATACGAGACCCAGCGAGAAGTTGGCTGTTAGCCAGGAAGTGGGCCTTCACCATATACCAAATCTGCTGCTGCCTTGATCTTGGACTTCCCAGCCTCCGTGACCGTGAGGAATACATTTCTGTTGTTTATAAGGCCAAAGAAACCAAAAACCCAGCAGCTTCTGACCTGCCCCTAGTTGGCTCGCAGTTCGATAAGACACCCTGCTGCCCGAGAGAGCCCCCATCCCATGCTCTGGGGAAGAAAGAGAAGGAGCAGGGCTCCCTACAGCCTCTTGGCCTTGTCCCCCAAGACCCCTCCACTGGTATGTGGAGAGCCAGAATGGCCTCAGAGGCAGGAGGCCAAACCTCCTGTGGCCAGGAGATGGCCAGGAGACGAAGCGCTGGGCGGAGGCTGCCCGGGGAGAGGCTGCTGGTGCTGCCGGCGGGCGCCGAGAGCTGGCTGAGCGGCGCACGGGAGCGGCTTCCTCGTGGGGCTGGAGGCTGGGCTCCTGGGGTCCGATGAGCAGGGATGGCAGCAGGCAGGAGGAGCTGCAGAGGGCGGCGCGAGTGGGTGGGGTGGGGGGGGAGATCCTAATAGGATCCTGGAGGCTCTGTGGGTGGTTGCGAGGGGCAGAGTCAGGGCGAAAGGCCGAAGCTAAGGGGCCGAAGTCAGGGCAGGACCGTCTGTGACGAGAAGGGGGCGGTGGCGAGGGGCGGCCTCGGGTCCAGAACTGATGCCCAGTGAACAGCAAAGAGGCAGCTGTCTTGGGCTGTGGGCAGAGAGAGGCAGGGCAGGCCCCGTGGGGCAGGGGCCACATGGCTCAGGGCCTGCCGAGGCTGGCGAGGTAGGCCCGGGCCAGGCTCGTCAGAGCGGCCAAAGGGAGTTGGAAGTCCAGGCAGGTGAGCGCCGGGCCTGGCCAAGGAGGAGGCCCCGCAGAGCAGCGTCACTCGTGAGACCCCGTAGCAGCCGAGGCTGGAGGCCGGGAGGCAGGCCCCAGGCAGAGCAGCGGGCAGCGTAGGCAGGGGGCGGACGGGCTGGGGTGGGGTAGGGGAGAGGAGCAGAGCCGGATGCAGTGGCCAGGCTTGCGGGGGGCGGGGGGTTCCCACACGGAGCCCCCCTGACTCAGCGACAGTTGGTCAAGGCCCCAAAGGCCTCAGGGAAAGGAGGGCAAACCGAACGGGCTTCTGCTGCCGGGGCTGAGCGTCTTGGCTGTTGGAGGCCATTCTGGTGCGGGGCATCTGGAGAACTGTCGGGAGTGCCTCAGCATCTCCTTGTGGGGCCCAGGGTGACGCAGCCTCAGAGAGATGGGGCTGGGTCCTTCCTCACAGCTGACTCCCGAGAGTCCATAAAGCGAGGGACTCACTTAACCAGGGGGAGCGAGCAGTGCATGAGGAGTCCCGTCGCCCTCCCTCTTGCCTCTGCGAGACCGTCACTCGGAAGGGGGCCGCTGCCCTCCCGAGGGGCGTGGGTACGAGCGGGCCTCGGGGAGCAGCTGAGTCCTGGGCATCGGCCTGCAGCCTCGGCCTCTGCCTCCAGCGCTAGCCGCCGACGCCATGCACCAGTCCCTCTTCCTGTCGGCCCTGTCGGCCCACCCGGACCGCTCGCTGTCCGTGTGCTGGGAGCAGCACTGCAAGCTCCTGCCGGGAGTGGCGGGCATCTCGGCCTCGACGGTTGCCAAGTGGACCATTGACGAGGTGAGAGCGAGGACCCGTCCCCGTTCCTGTCCCCTACTTTGCCCTCTCACCGCAGCCTGGCGGGAGGGCTCAGGAATGGCCCTGGTCAGGCAGAGGCGGTCGCTGCTCCTCACAGCACCTGCTGCCCCTCCAGCCTGCCCGCCGTCCCTCCTGGTGCCCGGCAGGGGCTGCGAGATGGTTTGATAGGCCTCCCCTGGTGGGTGGGGGAGGGATGTGCTGCTAGTTCCCATGCAAGTCGGGGGGAGAGACGCTTCACCTGGGCCCCACCTTGCTCACCCAGCAGCAGAGATGCAAGGGTCCTCTTAGGCTAATAAGAAAAAGCGACACTGTCAAAGCCCAGAGAGCACCAAGTGCACGTGGACCCGCCTCCGCCCTGCACTCCCAAGCCCCTGTCCCCTTGGCAACACGTGCTTCTCTGGTTTCCAAGGTCTTCAGCTTCGTTCACACCCTGACCGGCTGTGAGGACCAGGCACGACTCTTCAAAGATGAGGTGAGGTGCAAGTGCAGAGTGGGGACAGAAGGGTCAGCCGCTGAGGCGACCAGGGAGTGGATGCCCTCACCAGCGCTGCCCCCTGCTAGGGAGGGCCCTCTGTTGTCCTGCCTGCGGGAGACGGGTCACAGTGACCCACGTCTCTGGGAAAAACCCGGTATGGACTGTGGCCCAGCTTGCAAACCCTGTGTTCAGATCACGGCAGGAAGAAAAATGCCTCTTGGAGACAGGGCTCCATTCACTCCTCTGCTCTCTGCCCAGCCTGTCTTCCAGACCTAGCTCACTAGGGACAGTAAGTTAAAGTGGCTCTTGAATGGCGTAGGTCTGCCTTTTACTACAAGGATCCTAACATAGACTTAATAGCAAGACCCCAAAGCTTACCAAGGATAAGAAACAGTGAGTCGTACATAAAAGAACCCTAGCTTTACAGACAGTGTGGGTGTGAATCCCAGTTCTGCCAGTTTGAGCTCCTTACTGTGTCTGAGTCTGCATCTTCTTATCTATAAAATGAGATAAAATGGGATAACGAGGGCTAAGATGATGACAACCTTTCAGGGCCGTCGTGAGCATTGGAAATGATGAATGGATCATTGTACCAGAATGTCTAGTATAATTATATCACTAGCCTGCTATAGAATAATACACAAATCCTATCACTCTGTAAGAATGCCTGGTACAGTGGGGGCTCAGTGGTGGTTCTGGCTCTTAATAGTCATCCTTAAGTAAAGAACTTTGTCGTGACTCTCCCAATTTACACAGTTTGAAACTGGAAGGGACCTTGGAGTTTGTTTAGATCTTCCTTCCAAAGAATACACACATCCATCCCCCATCACCCAGGAAAGCATAGTCTCAGCGGCCTGTAGATGCCCCCTACAGGTCAGGCGCCCATAAGAAAGAAGTCTGCTCCTCTCCCCCGAGAAGAATCTCTATCCAGACCCAACACGGCCAGTTCTTCATAGTATCCTTGCGTGGCGGAGGATAACCCCACCCGCTCTGGGTGCTTGCCTCCTAGGCTGGTGATCTTACTGTAACGTATGTGTTCAGAGCCGTATACCGGTTTCAGATGCCTTCTGACCAGCACAGAACATGCTGGTGGAGTTCTCCAGTACCTGCTTTTCGGTTTTGTTTTTAAAAGGACTTTATTTTTATAGAGCAGTTTTAGATTGACAGCAAAATTGAGAGGAAGGTACAGAGATTCCCCATCAACCCCCCACCGTGACGCATGCACAGCCTCCCCCCCTTATCAGCTTCACTCACCACAGTGGCACTCTGGTTAGAATTGTTGAACCGACACCCAGATGTTTCTTAATGGAGATAAAAATGTACATGGAGCAAAATCCACACATCCTAAAAGTACAGTTCCACGAGTTTTGTGAGATGTATGCACCCTGAACCCAGTGCTTTAACCAAGAGATAACACATTCCCATCATCCTGGAGGGCTTTTTCTTGGCCCCTTTGTCAGTCCCCGCCCTCATCAGCAGCCACTGTTCAAATTTCTAGCGCCGTAAGTTAGTTATACCTGTTCTTGAACTTCACATAAATGGGGGTGGAGCTTTGATTCTTGGTGTCTGTCTCTTTTCACTCTGTAATGTTTTTGAGGTTCATCCGTGTTATTGTGTATACCAGTAGTTTGTTCATTTGTATTGCTGAGTAGCGCTCCATTTTATGAAGAGCCCACAGTTCTGTTAATGGATATTTGGGTTGTTTTCTCTTCCCCTAGATACAAACCCTATATATATATATATATATATATACATATATATATATAAATCTTTTTTCTTTTTTTTTTTTTTATCAAAAATTAAGTTTGCACTAGCTTCATTATAACCACATCAGACCAGTTTGGAGGTCATGAAAGTCCCCAAGTGCCTTTTATATCAATTATCCATTATAGTCTAACCGCATTTTCCAGTTTGTTACTTGTACCACTGGATTTTTTTTTTTTTATTAACCTAATGTAAAACTTTACTTTTATCCCTATTAAATGTTATTTTGTTGGTTTCATAGTCTCATTGTTTTAAATCTTGATTCTGTCATCTCTGGTATTAGTAAGCCTTTCCAGTCTCATACAACTTATCATTTGATAACTAAGGCACACCTTCACCACACCTGTTTCACGAGACGGAGCCATGTGGCACCCATTAGAGGTCTTCCCTCCATGACAACAGTCATAAATCAGTGCTCCCTGAGTGCAGTGGTCAGCTAGCCACAGAGCCACGCGAGAGTTAGGTGCTCCAGCATCCTCCCCTTGTCAGAAGAAGGGCTCTCTTCCCCCCAGGGCACCTGCTGCGTATCTCAGTTCAGCATGGTCTGGGGTACAAAAGCAGTGGCCAGCAGGGGCACAGGGTGGACTGCCAATATCAAATGGAGTCTCAGTGGGGAGCAGGACCTCTGTGAGAGCTGAGGATGCCCTTCCCAGGATCTGGTCCATGCTCCAGGGAGGGGCCTTTGTCGGGCTGAAATGATACATTCGGACACACACGTCAAGATTCTCTCCAGCCGGGACACAGACCAGTCATTCGAGGGATGTGTCATGAGTGAGAAGTTAGGGCAAAGCAGATGGATGGTCTCATGGGTAGTCAGTCTGTCCAGTCTGGCGGTCGGCCCTGTTGGTGCTAAGGAAAGTCTGCCCAGATTCAGACTAAATCACTCTGCCGTCCTCTCTCCCCCCAGCCCCCCGGCAAGAATAGCTCGTAGGTGACACTGTGTACATCACACCGCATCCCCGGCACGTGTCCCCGGTGTCTGCCTGTTGACCTGCCAACAGCAAGGACACTGACCCGGGGCTTTGTGGGGGAAGCACAACAGCAGGTGTTTGGAGGCTGCTGTCTGTGGGGACTCAGAAAAAGTTAAGCACATACACACTAACATCAGACCAGGCAGCAGAAAGAGAAAGAGGATGTGTGTGAACATGGGGGAGCCGGTGGAGATCTCTGTCCTTCTCTGTCCCCATCGCTATCTTCCTTTTTTCCTTTCTCCTTCCCTCCTTTCTCCTTTTCCTTCCTCTTCCCATCTCTCTCCTCCTCCCCGCCCCTCATGCAACCTTGACCCCGATTCTCTTTCTCCCCTGCCCGCTCCCCATGCATACCCCACCTCTCCGTCACTCCTTCCCACGGCCCTCTCCGCCTTCTCTGCCTTCCGCCTCCCTCTCCCAACCCCTCAGATGATTGACGGCGAGGCCTTCCTTTTGCTGACACAGGCGGACATTGTGAAGATCATGAGCGTCAAGCTGGGTCCAGCCTTGAAGATCTATAACGCCATTCTCATGTTCAAAAACGCCGATGACACCTTAAAGTGAGTGGCTCAGGGCTGGGCTCACCTCAAGCCCAAGCTGGGCCTCCCTCTGCAGCTGATGCTTCCTTCCCAACTTGAGTTCCTCATATCCCACCCATACCCCCACCACCCTCTACGTCTTACCAGGAGTGGCCCTCCTTCTCTCCGGGGCTGCTTCCTGCAAGGTACTTGGGAGTCCTAGCCCCTGAGTCCTGGGGCTCATCTGCCACCAGACACACCAGTGAGGGTGTGACTGGGCCGGGGGAACATTACCGGGGAAGTGAATTGGAGGGGCCCTGCCTCTAGCCACCCCACCTCTCCAGCTGACTTGTGTGATCACCAAAGGGTCTTTTTCTTAGCGGTTAAGGACAGTCTGGTTGAACAGGAGTCCTCCGGTTAGAGGCTCATTTCTCTTGGGCCTCTCTCCATGCTTTTCTTTCCTTGGTTCCGACCAAGAAGTGACCCAGCCACAAACATATGTACTCATTCCGCTGTCTGGTTTCCTGGGCTGGGCTCCCAGCCATGGCCCTCCCAGACCCCACTGGCTCTTCCCCCTTAGATGGGTAAGCTTCGGAAATAGGTTGTCAAAGGATCCGCTGGGAGTCTCTGGCTGCTTTTCTCCCTTTCGCCCGGAAGCGGGGGATTCCAAGCCAAGATGCCTTCCTGAACATGCCCTGTGCTGGATCAGCTGGCATCTTGGTGGCCCACGCCAAGCCCCGTTTCCAGCAGAGTGGGTGGTTAGAGCCTGTTTTACCCGTGCAGAAAAGGTTAAGGCTCCACATATGTTCCCCATATGCCCTTCCTGTATCAGGTGTGGGGAAGAGGCAGCCCAAGGGTGTGTCAGACAATCTCGGGTCTTTGGCCAGAGGGGCAGCCCCAGCAGGCATGATGGTCCCCGAAGCTGGGCACGGCATCCTTCCCTGCAGCCATGGACCTCAGCCAAGGTATTGCCCCCCGGGCTGAGGACCCCATGCCTGCCAGGCCTCCTGCCGTGGTCTAGCACACATACCTCACAACATCACATTCGACCTGTCCGTAAATGTCTTGCTCTTGAGGGGTCTTACAAAGTCCCCTTGAAGTTGGAAGTTGGGAAGGTGAATTCTTCTGTCTTTGAATCCTCTGTGTCCGTGAGCTGTGAGCCTTTCTTACCACTCTCCCTTTGCAACGGCCAGCCAGGTGGCCTGCCGGGGCTTTGGGACTTCAACCTTTCTGTCCAAGTGGGGGCCTAGCCTCCACAGAGCCACTGCCAAACCAGCCAGGGTGGGGCAGAGGCAGAGGGCCTGGCAGCAGCTGGCCCCCACGGAGGTGAGGGGCGACCGCCAAGCTCCCTCCCGTGGCCCCGGGTGCTGCGAGGGGCCTGCAGGGTGCAGAGCCAGGCCCGTTCCCTCAGTCACGTGATGTGTGTGCCCATAGGGCACCCTCAGAAGTGTCGGACAGGTGCATCTGTGAGGCTCAGCGTTGGAAAAACGTCAAGGGCTATTACTGTTAAAATATGAAGCATTAGCTTTCCCCCAGAAGCTCTGTTGACTTCCTGCCGCAGCCCAGTACGGGACCCTCTCTCACATGGGCCCCCGCAGCTCTGCAGGGCAGCCAGTCAGCCGCCCCGCTGAACTCCCACAGGACTTCGGATGCTCCTGCCCTTTCGGCCCTTAGAGGCAGCTCTGAGCACACCCTTCCTGGGGAGAAAGTGGGCAGGCCCTGCCTCTGGCTGAGGCTCAGCTTTACAGAGGTTCTTTGGTGTCCCCTTGGCCAAGAGTCAGGAGGAGCCCGTCAGCGTCTTTCCCTTGGTTCGCTTGGGTGGTGGCAAAGCTCCCCAGCTCCTTGGCCGGGTCTGCTCCTCTTTGAAACTGAGGAGAAACGGGCATTGTGGTGTGAGGAGAAGGCAGCGAGGCCGCTCAGCTGAGCCGCAGGACCTCCGCACTCCCGAGGAGCAAGGCTGGGGCGGCGGACCTGCCGGCCACCCTCTAAGGCCTGCCTGCGGGAAGGGCAGGCTGGACCCACGAAGGGCCTCGTGAGAAGGAGGCCTCAGCACTTTCTGCACCAACGTCAAACTCTTGGGAAAGAAACCAGAAAAAAGGGGGAAAGCAGTGTGCCCTCCTGCCCCTTCTCCCCAATCCTGTCCCCAGAGGAGATCTTCACACGCTGACCGCTGACCGGGGTGCAGGTGAAGGGAGGGAGTCGGGGCCAGGGCCCTGCTCTCAGCCACAGCTGCGCCCAGCCCCCGCCCGGCCCTGGCTTAGGTCAGTGAGGACCTTTCTGTTTAATTTCTGAAGCAGAGAGAATGATTCCAGAGTTTGAAAATGAAGCCTGTTTGCACTTTCATTCACATGCACTTTGGTGGAATTGTTTTTGTACTTTCCGTGTGTGTGCGCCCGCGTGCTCTAAGAGAATCCTCTGGTTTAAGATAAAGTGACTCTTGACTCTTGAGGGAGAAAAATTTACAAACTGTGGTGTTTTGTCAGTGTACTGAAACAACATAAATAAACTTTGAACATCTGGATGATATGCAGTCAGAGTCTGTTTCTATTTTCATGATAAAACATCTAGAAAACACAAAATGAGTATCAATAGTGCCATTATTGAAGAGAATAAAGCATTCTCTTTGTTGTTAGGGGGTCCTTATTCTATTTTAAAGATAAGAAACAAAGGATAAAGATAAATTGGTATACTTGTCTACACTGAGAAATATAAACAATGGGAACCCCCGGAAAACAGTATGAATAAGACCTGATCCTTGACAGTTTATAAATGGACAGGGGCAGAAAATTCAATGAAGTCCTCCAGTTTTTAGTTTTTAGTTTTTTAAAAGATCTTATTTATTTGACAGAGAGAGATAGGGAGAGCAGGAACACAAGCAGGGGGGAGTGGGAGAGGGAGAAGCAGGCTTCCCGCCGAGCAGGGAGCCCGATGTGGGGGCTCCATCCCAGGACCCTGAGATCATGACCTGAGCCGAAGGCAGACGCTTACCGACTGAGCCACCCAGGTGCCCCTCCTCCAGTTTTTAAGATAACATCAAACTTTCAGGTGGGAAATGTCAAGCTGAACGGTTAGACTTCGTTAAGTTTCCCAGAGACTGTGAACAAACGGAAAAGTGGCAGAAATGCCCTGTCCAATGACATCAACCCCTTTCTTGTCAATATCCTTAATTTCTTTGCCCCACTGCTCTTCCAGACTACTCAGCTAGAGTACCAACCACAGGGCTGTCCAAGCCCATCTTCTCCAACCTTTACCAGGAGGTTATCTGACTAAGCCGATTAGTGCCATTGTTAACTGATGGTCTCTGGCTTCAGTATGGACTCTCAGGGCTGCGCAGGAAGCAGCCGGGTATTGTTTTCCTTTGTTTTTTTAAAGATTTTTATTTATTTGACAGAGAAGGAGAGAGCACACAAGCAGGGGGAGGGGCACGCAGAGGGAGAGGGAGAAGTATGTTTCCCACTGAAACCCCATCCTGGGATCATGACCTGAGCCTAAGGTGGATGCTTAACTGACTGAGCCACCCAGGCGACCCACAGCTGGGTTTTGAAGGAGTTACCTCTGATTTCCCTTTTCATGCCCCTCAAACCTCCTGCCCGTTAACCTTCCCTGTTATCTCAATATATGTGTTCATCATCTATATCACAGAGAAAATGGAAGTCATCAGAAGGAATACCTCCACCTTCCTGCCACCTCATCTGTCAGTCTCCTCCCACCCATATCCATCCTTCCTTCTTTCCCACCCATCGCAGTAGAAGAATTGATCCCTCCACTTGTGGAAGCCATTCCTCTACCAGGCATGGCTGCTATAAAAGGAAAAGAAACATTGAGAGGCAAGATAGGACTTCTGGAAATTTAAAATTGATTGCAGAGGTAATTCAACACACAGGTTAAAAGATAAAGTTGATATTGCCCAGAAAGTAGAAGAAAAAGACAAGGAAATGAAAAATGGGAAAGAATAAAAAAATTAGAGGACTAGCTAGAGGTCCAATACACAACTAACAGAAATGCCAATAAGAGAGAACAGAGAAATTATAAATTTTTTAAAACTTTTTTAAAAAAGTAAATTTCAGAGTTGAAAGATACTAGTCTCTAAAACTAAAAGGTTACACTGAAAGCCCAGCACAATGGATGTAAAAGGAATGACACTAAGCTCCATTATTGTGAAATATCAGAATCATGAGAACAAAGAGAAGATTTAAAAGCTTCCAGAGGGAATAAGACAGGTCTCATCGGAAGGAACATGAATCAATAGCATTGAACTCAATGGCAGTGCTGGAAGCGAGAGAGTGGAACAACATCTTCACAATTCCAAAGTACAATTATTTCCACCCTAGAGTGTACCCAGCCAAGTTGTCAGTCAAATGTGAAGGCAGAACATTTTCAGACATACAAAGTTGCAAACTTTTATCTCCTACGAACCTTTCCTCAGAAAACCATTGGATGATATGCTCCATCAAAATGAGAGAATAAGGGACACCTGGGTGGCTCAGTCGGTTAAATGGTTAAGTGTCTGCCTTCAGCTCAGGTCATGATCCCAAGGTCCTGGGATCGAGTCTCACATCGGGTTCCCTGCTCCGTGGGGAGGGAGTCTGCTTCTCCCTCAGTTCCTCCCCCGCTCCTCCCCCACCCCCGTTCATGCTCACACTCTCTTTCTCTTGCAAAAATAAAATCTTTTTTAAAAAATGAGAGAATAAGTCAAAAAAGAGGAAGATTCCAAAAATGCAAGGGTAGTTCAAAATAAGTAAGTCAGTCTATATAATACACCACATTACTAGAATGAAAGGGGAAAAAAACGTGATCATCTCAATTGATGCAGAAAAGGCATTTATGAAAATCCAACACCGTTTCATAGTAAGAACAGAAAACTGGGGAATAGAGGGGAACTTTCTCAAAATGATAAAAGGCATCTACAAAAAACCCACAGCTAATATCATACTCAATGGTAAAAGACTTCCTGAAATTAGAACAAGACATGGAAACCCACTTCCACCACTGCTTCTCAGTATTGTCCTGGAAGTTCTCACCAGAGCAATTAGATAAAGGCAGTGAGGAGCACCTGGGTGGCTCAGTGGGTTAAGCGTCTGCCTTCAGCTCAGGACATGGTCTCCGGGCCCTGGGATCAAGCACCAGGTCAGGCTCCCTGCTCTCCCTCTCTTTCTCTCCCTCTGCCCCTTCCCCCCTCTCTCTCTCAAATAAATTAATAAATAATCTTTAAATTTTTTTTTAAAGAGAGAAATAAATAAAGGGCACCTAAGTTCGAATAGAATAAGTAAAACTATTTCTATTCATGGATGACATGATCTAATATACAAAAAAATCCACAAGCAATCTGCTAAAGCTAATAATTTAAGTAAAGTTGCAGGGTATAAGATTAACACACAAAAATCAAATTTGTCACTTGTGTTTCTATAACACCTGCAACAAACAATCCAAAAAGGAAAGCAAGAAAGCAATTCCCGGGGCACCTGGGTGGTTCAGTCGTTAAGCGTCTGCCTTCGGCTCAGGTCATGATCCCAGGGTCCTAGGATCGAGCCCCACATCGGGCTCCCTGCTCCGCGGGAAGTCTGCTTCTCCCTCTCCCACTCCCCCTGCTTGTGTTCCCTCTCTCGCTGTCTCTCTGTCAAATAAATAAATAAAATCTTAAAAAAAAAAAAAAGAAAGAAAGCAATTCCCGTTACAACAGTATCTAAAGGAATAAAATACCTAGGAATAAATTTAAAGGTGAAAGGCTTCTATACTAAAAGCTACAAACCATTGCTGAAAGAAATTAAAGAAGACCTAAATAAATTGAAAGACATCTATGTTCATGTCTAGGAAGACTTAAGATTGTTAACATGTCAACACTACCTAAAGTGAGATTCAAACCCTATCAAAATGTCAATGGCCTTTTTTGAGGAATGGAAAAGCCGATCCTCATATCCATACAGAATAGCAAGAGGACCCTAAAAGCCAAAACAATCTTGAAAAAGAACAAAGTTGGAGGACTCAGATTTTCTGATTTCAAAACTTGCTGCAAATATAAAGTAATCAAAACAGTGTGATACCGGCCTAAGGACAGACATAGCGACCAATTGGAGAGAACTGAGAGTCCAAAAATAACCCCAAACATCTATGGCCAATTGATTTTTGAAAAGAGTGTTCATTCACTGGGGAAAGAGCAGTCTCTTCATCAAATGGTGCTGGGACAACTGGATCTCCACATGTGAAAACAATGCAGTTACATGCCTACCTTATACCATATAAAAAATGGAACTCAAAATGGGTCAACTACCTAAATATAGGAGCTAGAACCATAAAACCCTTAGAATAAAACCTAGAGGTAAATCTTTATGACTTCGGAATTGACAGTGAAGTCTAGATGTGACACCAAAAGCACAAGCAACAAAAGAAGAAACAGACAAGTTGAAGTTCATCAAAATGAAAAACTTCTGTGCATCAAAGGACTTTATCAAGAAAGTGAAAAGACAACCTATAGAATGGGAGGAAATACTTGCAAATTATCCATCTGACCAGGGTTCAATATCCAGAATATATAGAGAACTCCTAAAACTAAACAGCAAAGAGACAAACAACCCAAATAAAAAATGGGCAGAGGTCTTGCCTAGACCTGTCTCCAAAGAAGATGTACAAATGCCAACAAACACATGAGAAGATGCTCAACAGCATTTGTCATTAGAGAAATGCCAATCAAAACCACCATGAGCTACCACTTCACACCCACCAGGATGGCTGTCATCACAAAACTGGAAAATAGTAATTGTTGGCAAGGGTGTGGAGAAACCACTGGTTGGAATGTAACAGGTTGGAAAACAGGTTGGCTGCTTGAGGAGGGGTTTGCTTTCTCAAAAAGCTAAACCCAGAATTACGACATTACTCAGAAATTCCACTCCTAAGTATACACCTGAAATATCCGAAAACAGATACTTGTTGCCAGTGTTCACTGCAGCATTATTCACAATAGCCAAGAGGTGGAAAGAACCCAGGTGTCCGTCGATAGTCGATAGGTGAGTGGGTCTATCCATACAACAGAATATTATTCAACCATAAAAAAGGATTAAGCAACATGGAGGAACCTTGAGGACATGATGCTAAGTGGGATAAGCCAGGCACAAAAGAACAAATACTCCGTGAGTCCTCTTATAAGAAATATCTAGAACAGGCAGGTTCATAGAGACAAAAAGTAGATTGGAGGTTACCAGGGGCTGGTAGGAGGGGAAATGGACGGTTATTGCTTAAATGATTACAGAGTCTCTCTTTGAGGCATGAAAAAGTCTTGTAAATAGACAATGATGGTGGTTGTACAACACTGTGAATGTACCTAACGCCACCGAATTGTTCACTTAAAGATGGTTGAAATGGAGGCACCTGGGTAGCTCAGTTGGGTAAGCGTCTGCCTTTGGCTAAGGTCATGGTCCCAGAGTCCTGGGATCAAGTCCCGCATCAGGCTCCCTGCTCAGCGGGGAGGCTGCTTCTCCCTCTGCCTCTGTCTTTCTCCCCACCCCCACTGCGCTCACACTCGAGTGCTCTCTCATGCTCCCTTACTCTCTCA